GCTCTATCTGAAGTGTGAGGAGTAAAAATTTGTTCCCATGATGTAGGCTCCCTATTTACCTCTCTTATTGTTTCTCTTGCTGAGAAAAAACTTTTTAGTTTAAGTAAGACCCATTTGTTGATTCTTGGGCTCTCAAAGTCTTCACATGGGATTGAACTGCATTTACCCACACAGATAGTTTCCTACTGGTGGTACTTTAAAGGCTGTTTTATAAGTAAATAGTGCTTGCACTAGAATAAGGTTTGTTTTTGGGGAATTGAAACTAAAATACAGTGGCATGTTACTTTAAACAAATTCAATGTAGAAACCTTAATTTTCCTTCAAATTAGATTTACAGAGCAATTTTTAAATAAAGAGAATCATTTAAATATAGCACATTCATAAAGGACACTGAAAATGCTCTACTTTTGGGTGGTCAGTTTTGTGAAATTAAATAGAGCTGTATGGCAGGGATTTCTGGGTATATTTTAATATTTAAATCACTCTTACAAAGTTGTTTACTACAATTTGAATTCTACCAATGTGATAGGTAGGGAAACCATGTAATTTATTGTGTAAACCACAACTCTTTCTATTGAAACGTTATGCTCTTATACTGGAATAAAATGTAAGAGCCAGCACATATGGCCATCCTCTGTGTACGTAACCATGTTATCATTGTTTAGAATCATAATATAGATTTGTATTGACCAAAAATGAAATGTGGTAGAAGATAATACTTCAATTAGTACCTTTAGATGATGTACTATCAACATTATTGTGTATTTCTAAGCATTAATAAAGTCTTAAGAGTTAAAAGCAAAATTGTGAACCAAAAACTGAAAGGTGATTGATAATCTCTTATACAAGCTTGTTAAGCTCATGTTCCTGTAACTTTTATTTGTGGATTATATTTGCCATTTTCTAAATTATTTTATAGGTCTTATTTGGATTCTTCCTAGCAAAGGTTTTCCTCACAGTGTAGTTGTAATACATAAATATGAAGTTTTTAACATAGTACATGACACCTAGTGGATACTCAATAAATGGTAGTTAATAAGAATGAGAAGAACAAGCATGGTGAAAATGGTGCCATAATTTAGCTTCAGGTCCAATCTAGTCATAGGCCTGAAGTATTTTTTATTTTCTCTTCTGAGATTAAGTATAATCGCAAGTAGTATTTGAGATGTTCATGGATTAGAAGTACTAAAAAATAGATTGTTAGTAATAAAAATGTAATTTATGTAGTTATATCTATAACTTTTCCCTTTATTCCTTAACTCTCCCAAAGCCTCCCTCTTGATGGATGATCTATGTGATTTTTTTTTTTTTTGTGCCCAGTACTGCTGTGCAGCCCATCCAGCTGTTCTGTCTTTATAGGGTGATATTGGAACTTGTTTGGGGCCATTGAGCTGATAGCCTCTCTAGACATATTTGTGAGTGTTCTGTCTTATTCAGACATAAAAATTAAATCACTACTTATAGTTTTGATCTTATAGTGACGTTAGCTTTTCAAATATAGGGGTTTTGTCCTGTTCAACTTTAAATTTTCATGTCTGGCACTTAGTAAACGGATAAATAAATATCTCTTTTTACTCCCTCTCTTTTGCCTGCCTCCCATTATTTAGCCTGGCATTCAGTAAAAATTGTAGTATTGTATTATGTGAAAGGAGAATCTTACATTACTCTGAATTAAAAAGCAAAGTAAGCTCAGAGAAAAAGAAAGCATCAAGGGAGTGGAATTCATTTATCTTCTTACCAAACAAAAGAAAATTGCTTTTAATTGCTTTTACCTCTTGAATTACTTTTGTTCATTCTTGCTCTTATTAACTTTCATAGGAAGATGTCTTACTGATCTTCTAGATGACTTTATTTCCCTGTTTCTTTTTCAAAATTTCCTGCTTATGAAATCCAGAGAATTGACACATAGATGTTATAGACTCATGAATTACCTAATAAGAGAATTAGGCTAGTTTACTAATGAAGAAAATGTTTTATTTCTATGGTAAAAACTATATGTAGCTGTTTAAGGTTTGTTTGAATCATAGTGTGTATTCCAGGAAAGGGTTAGCTTAACTTTAACATAATAGACTGTAAACTTAATTTTTCCAATTATGGCATACCCTCATTTGTGTTTCCAAGTGTATATGTAGTATGCCACCACAATTACAATCTCCATACTTGAAACAAAACAACACAAAACATCTATCTAAATTTGTTTTTACCAGGCCATTTCTCTGTAACCCAGTTCCTTATTTGGGAACAGGATATATGCTCACTTAATTGTTTCTGTGAGGGGTAACCTTTTTGACCTGCCAATTTAAAATTAAGTGTTTGTATTCATTTTCCCATAAAGGAGACATGGTAGGTCCCAAACTAGTGTTAAGTGAAAATGTAGTATTTAGACTTCACTGTAGTTAGCATTCACTGAACTGCTTAAGTAAAAAACATATACATACACAAAATATGCTTATTTACCAAGAAAATAAGAACTTTGTTAGGTACATACTAGCTTTTATCTTTCTTGCACTTGCTATTGAACTAAATCCTTTCCAGAAATCTAGATTGTCCTTAGGTTCTTCAGTTGTCCTTTTGGCCTCTACACGCATTCCTCCAACCCTTTACCCCTAAAAAACACACATAAGTACCATTTACTGCTTCATTTTGAATGAGTAGTCAACATTGTCAGTCATATCACTTTAGGGGACTATCTGCAAATTATGATATAACAGGAACTTAAGTTGTTTTTTATTCAGTGAGTCCAAGTTGGCTAATGGTTTTGTCTTTATCAGCAATGTTTTTAATATGGGGCTGATTTTTCAGTGAGTACTTTGGTAGCCATGAATTAAAACATAGCTTTAAATTTCTTCGTGTTTAATTTTCTTTTTGTGTTTTTGTTGCATTATTGTTTAATTTTTTTTAAACTAATTCTGTAGAGGAAATATGGGTAGAAAATGCAAATGCATTATAACTAAATGATTGTACTGGCTGTAATTTTATAATATTTGGTTTTATACTATATACTTTCATCAATTTTAGATGCTTTGGTTTATAATAAGGAGGTTGAGAAAAGAATTGGCTTATAAAACTTAAGATTCATGTGCCAAGAATGATTTGGAGGTTAGAAATATAGATAAAATTTAAGAATGTTAATTTTTAATAGGCTATATTTAGAATTTTCAAGTGTGTAAAAGGTAAAAACAATTTGCTATATGTGTAAGTTAAGTTTTTTCAAATTAGAAACTACATTGTGACTGTATAATTTCAACCTTTGTATTTTATTAATTTTTTTTTTAATTTTAGTTTCAGTCTGATGGAAGCAAACAAGAAGATAAAGAGAAAACGGTAAGAGATTGGAACAATCCAATAATGTGTCTAATGTTTGTTTAGGTATAGCATATTACAAATTTTACTGTGAATAAGCTTTAATCATCTGTGTAAATAATTATTTTATGCTTTACATACTGAGTACAGTTTTTGGCAACTGTACAAAGTTACCTTTTTAAGAATAATATCCCTTTCCTTTGAAGATTAACATTCCTTTGAGAAAGGAAGAGAGATAAAAGTCCCTCATTCCCTTGCTCTCCCTTTCCTTCTCTCACCCCATTTGCTATCTTGGATGGAGAAAAACAAGTAAGGACAGTGATAGGGTGGGGAATTAGATATTGTGTTATGAAATCAAGAAATGGTAATTTCTTCAAAAAATTATTTTGAAGCTGGATTGGTATGGACCTCTTATTGATATAGTTTTTTTTCCTCCTTTCTTCTTAGGAAGTTATCCTTAGCTGTTTGCTTAGCATTACTGACCAGGTACTACTTCCATCTCTTTCTTTGATGGACTGCAATGCTTGTATGTCTGAGGAACTATGGGGGATGTTTAAAACATTTCCCTATCAGCATAGGTAAATACACATTATTTTTGTATTTTTAACTACTAGTAATTCTAGTGTATTAACCTCCAAGTATTTAATTTTTCCTAATTCTTCATCTCATCATTTTTTAAGATATCATCTGTATGGCCAGTGGAAGAATGAAACTTATAACAGTCACCCACTTTTAGTAAAAGTTAAAGCTCAAACAATAGACAGAGCCAAATATATCATGAAGTAAGTTTTAATTTATTTTTCTTCATATTAATCTAAACTATATCTGGATTTAATTTACTTTGTTTAAGGTAGCTTATGTCAGCACCTCAGTTTTGAGAAAGCACATAAATATTTGCTAAAGGAATAGCTGATTATATACTGTAGATGGAATATGAATTTTTGTGATTTTTTAGCTCATTTTAACTACCAAGTTATTGTTTTCATAGTTGTCTATGTATAAAATCTAATAAAAATTCTCTAAATGCATCATTATAGGATGAGTTCTTTAAAAAAATGACAGCCTGCTGTGGCTTTTCTTTAATTTGCATAATACAGTTGATGGTTTATGCAAGGTAGTCAAATTTCTTCCACTGATAGTTATTCTAATAAAGATGTTTTATCTGTTAGGAAGGTCTAATTCAATTATGCAGAACTATCTCCATAGGGAGCCAACTTTCAAGAAATTTCTTTTATTTGTGTGCTTTTATTTTATATCATTAAAAACGTAAGAGTAATGTTAATTTTACTTCCTGGTAGACTACTTGAAGTTTAATTATAAAGCTTATATACTTCTGATTAGTATCACTTTAGATACTAAATACACTTGCTGTATTTGTATGTGTTTTCAGCAAGGCTGTATTATCAGTTGTTGTTCCATTTATAAATTCATGCGGTGGTATGGCCATTCTAATTAAAAGTTGTACACTCTTTAGTTTAACTAGATTTAATAGTATGCAGTGATGATGTCCTTGCTCAATGATAGTGTCTTTAGTCACAGTCTGCTGGGAGCTGTGCAGAGTCACAGTCTGGTTTAATAGGTGCTCTTTTATATTATGTATGAAATGCTATGGGAGGATAGACAAAATAGTGAATTATTTTGCCTGGGCAAGTTCTTATTCGAGTTATTAGGCCTGGTTTTCCTGAAAGAGTTCTGATCTTTAAAGTTCTCCAGGTACAGTTTCTCAGTTAAGAAAAGTTAATATTTATGGAGCTATTACTATGTGTGCTAGGCACTGAACTAAGTGCTTTATTAGATTCTTTAATAATATTAAATATTATTAAATTCCTTGAATTCATTTCATTTATTCTCTCTACCACTATAACCTTGGTTCTTTGATCTGGAGTATTACAGTGCCTTATATTATTCTTTTACTTCAAAATCCTTTGCCTATTGACCATTGCCTGCAGGTTGTATGTCAAGCTTTATGACATGGTGAGGTAAGAGATTCTACCTCGAGCTGTACTGAGCCTAAATGTATTTCCTAAATGTATCATGGTCTCCTTAGCTTTACTTCCTTTGCACATATTTTTGTTTCCTATATTTGTACAGGTTTTTCCCTTATCTCCCTTTCCCTTCTACATTGGTGATTCATTCTTGGAGAGTAGCTCCAGTGTCACTTCTCTGAAACTTTCCCTAGCACATACTACCCAAATTCATCGATTGTCTTTTATTTGTGCCATCACTATTCCTTAGGCAAATAATGCTAGCATATCACTTAAGTACATTGCTATGATTGTTTTCTTTTTTTTTTAAAATTATCTCTTTAAAGTTGATATGTTCATATATATCTTAAATCTAAAGAGGTATATAGAGTTTACATGTAAGTGAGATCGTATAGTGAGTGTCTTTCTGTGCCTGGCTTGTTTCACTTAGTATAATGTCCTCCAGTTTCATCCATGTTGCCTTGAATACAATTTCTTTCTTTTTAAAAGCCGTATAGTAAAAAGTCTACCAGAAGCTGTGGGGGTGAGGGAAGGCATGGAGAAAGGGGAGATGTTGATCAAAGAATATAAAATTTCAGTTAGATTGGAGGAATAAGTTTTAGTGATTTCTTAAACTGCATGGTGACCACAGCTGATGATAATGTTTATTTCAAAATTGCAAAAAGATTAGATTTTTTAGTATTAGCACCATACACACACATGCATGTGCACACACTCATCTAAAGATAACTTGGTGGGGTGATGGAATGTTAGTTAGCTTGATGGAATCTTTCTATTGTGCATAAATAGATCAAAACATCCTGTTTTGCCCCATAGATATATAACAATTTTAAAAAGTAAAAAAGTTATGCCATAAAAGGTCTCTTATCCTATTCTCCTTTCATTCAGTTACTCCCCAAGGGGTAGGGGGAGTAATCAGTGTTTAGTTCCTTCCTTCTTTCCTTCATTCTTTTCATTTTTTTATCTATCTGTCTATTTATTTAACAGTTCAGATTTAGTTTCTTATTTATTTTTCCAGATAATTTTATGTATGCACAAGGCAATACAAATATATTATCCTCACTTTAAAAAAATATTTTTACTTGTAGATGGATACCACATCTTTTTAAAAATCTATTTTTAAGTTGTAGGTGAACACAATACCTTTATTTTATTTTTATGTGGTGCTGAGGATCTAACATAGTGCCTCACGCATGCTAGGCAAGTGCTGTACCCCAGCCCAGTACCTTTATTTTATTTGTTTGTTTTTATGTGATGCTGAGGATTGAATCCAGTACCTCACACACACTAGGCAAGTGCTCTACTACTGAGCTATAACCCCATCCCTTATTCTCACTTTTTATATTATTGATAGAATATAAGTACTGTTCTGAAAAATTTTAAGACTATAGAAATTTAAAACATGGATTTAAATCTGTTTCCCTCTATATCAAGCTCGAAAGCAGGAACTGTTATTCACCTTTGTATTCCTGATACTTTGCATTTTTGTATGTCATACTAGGCATTAATATGAATTAATTGATGAATAAAAGTATAATTTATCATAGAAAAATATGCACAGAGTTTTTAATACACTTGGATTATTGCATTTGTAAATTGGAACTGTAGACCAGGCTTGAACTTTATGAGTTTGATATTGTTTGAACTTTTTACACTGAGAGTGGACAATATTAATTATTACTTGTAAAATTTCTTTTTAAAAAAATATTTACTTTTTAGTTTTTTTAGGTGGACACAATATATTTATTTTATTTTTATGTGGTGCTGAGGATCGAACCCAGTGCCTCATGCATGCCAGGCGAGTGCGCTACCACTTGAGCCACATCCCCAGCCCCTACTTGTAGAATCTCACAAGGTTTGAATATTGCTTAAAACATGAACTTGCTGTAGGGCGTTTAATAATTCATTCTACAAGTGCTTATTGATTATATTTTATGTGCCAGATACCATGGTAGCTTGAGGGTAAGGCATAATCAAGTAAATATTCATTTTAATTTCTGTTTGTTTGCCCTCTTCTCCCCATAGTGGAGGCAGAAGGGAGTGGAATTAAAAGTAGGGAAGGGTTAGCCTTGGCAAATAGGTGGAGACAGGTGGTAGTAAGTTTGAAGCTGGAACAGAATATAGCCAAAGTTTAAAACTACTGTTCTCTTTTCTGGAAGCAGGAGCAAGAAACTGGGCAGTGGAAAATGGGAAAAGAAAATGGCCAATGATGAAATCATTTTAATTATTGGGTTTGTTTTGTCATAAAGATTCTTGAGATGATTATGTCATTTGTTATTTTTAGAATGATCACAGTCCCTGATTTATATACCAAATTCACAATGTAAAATTCTTTTAAGGAAAAACTTCTTTCCTTTCACATATAATAGTTTTGTGAAAAGTCTCTCAAGTTTCTAATTTATTGTGTAAAATTTTCATCAGAAGTATTTAAGTTTTGGTGTAATAATTGTTTTGAGCTGTAAAAATTTTATTGATATAAGTTTGCAGAATGTTGGTAAAAGACTTCCAAGCAGAAGAAGAAATAAAGAGGAAGGAAAGAAGTAGAATTTACTTTTTTAAAAATTGTTTAACTTGAATAGAAAAGCAGAGAACATTCATATCAAGGAGTATAACATTGACTATTACTTCTTTAGGGTCACTGAGCCAGATGGCATGAGGCATTTGATTGCATTATGCCAAATTTGATATTTTAATCTCTAAGCTTATAAATGAGCACTTCTAAAAATGATTATGACATTCTATAAAAATAATTTTATATACTTATAGAGTACATTAAAACTTTTACTGCTTATTAGATTATTAGTATAAAATGGAAATGTGTATTTTATAAATGTTACAAATTTGATATCCTCTGGAAGACACCCTAACCTAACTACTACAATAGAGTATATGATAAATGCAGTTGTTTACATGGATCCATATTGGATATTTGGGAAAGAACTATTGTCCAGTCCCCTAACCCCATGATATAACAAAGCTGTCAACATGATGAGTAATGTTACTTAAGATGATCCCTGCCACCTTTCTCTCCCCTTGTAGGCGTTTAACCAAGGAAAATGTGAAGCCTTCAGGAAGACAAATTGGGAAGTTGAGCCACAGCAATCCAACCATTTTGTTTGATTATGTATGTTTTAAGATTAATATTATCTTAAGGAATTTTTCTTTGGGTTGTCTTCAATACAGAAATTGAAATAGATATAATCTTAAAATTGTTTGGTACTTTTAGGAAAAAATTTAAGCAAATGAAACATTTGGTTGTACTAAGAAAACTTACTACACAATGTAATACATTGACTTATTTTTGTAGTAATACACAATAGCACTACAAATATAAATATGCTGTTATCTTGTTTACCATATTTTCATTCCTAGAAGCATTATTTGTTGATTTTAGCTTTTAGAAGCATTTGAATAGCATTTCATTGTGATTCAGATATAACACTGTGACTTTCATTTCTTTGATTCAAAAACACATTTAACATGAGACCTGCCTCTCTCTTTTCAAAATCCATGTTTAGACTCCCTGGAATTATTTCTTAGTTGTAAAGTTGTAGACTAAGAAAATATTCTCTAAGGCATTGATAGAATAATAAGTTTTGTATAAATGTAAAATGATAGGAAAACATTTTAATTATAAGCATTGTTTGTACTGGAAAATTGTAGCCATCACTTAGTTGGCATAGTAGTTCTCTTTTGTTTAGTTAATGACATCTGTTTTTTGTTGCTATCTTCCAGATCTTGTCACAAATACAGAAATATGATAATTTAATAACACCTGTAGTTGATTCATTGAAATACCTCACGTCATTGAATTATGATGTCTTGGCCTGTATCCTTTCAAGTGAAGGAATACATAGATTTCCCATTAATGATGAATGATTTATTTTCATTCTAATTTCTTTTAGTAACCAATTGAGGTTAATTCAGGTGGATTATCTGAAGTTTGGCCCACCAAGATTGTGAGCTGGAGAATGAGTGTCTGTACACTTGTGTGAGTGCCTTTGTGTTATATAAAGGCATTAGGTTTATCAAACATCTTGATATAGGTGGAGTCTATCTTGTTTGTTGAAAGGTAGAAAAGAGACTAAAGAAGAAAAGTTGGTATTACAATGAATATTTGTCAATAATTTGTAATTACTTGAAGCAAACAGTTTTATTTTCTCTCAAGATGCATTTTTTGTTTGTTGTAAGGGTCTTTTTCGAGATGTAGTTAAATATTTTTTTCTTAATGTATGAAAGATTGTATCATTGAAGCTTTGGCTAATCCAGAAAAGGAGAGAATGAAACATGATGACACAACCATCTCAAGCTGGCTTCAGAGTAAGTAATTTTTATTTTTTCAAAGATGAGATTACTGTTGGTGATAACTGCTATGTTTTGTATTGTTGCCTATGCTTAAAAACTTTTTAAAAATTTATTTATTTGTGGTTTTTAGATATACATGACAATAGGGTGTATTTTGAAACACTATACATACATGGGGTGCAACCTATTACAATTTTGATCTCATTCTTTTGATTGAACATGTGTAGTTATACTGGTTATGTATTCATATATGAACATAGGAAAGTTATGCCCAATTCATTCTACTATCTTTCCTATTCCCCCAACTTCCCTTCATTACTCTTTGTCTGATCCAATGAACTTCTATACAAGAATATATTTGTCGAGGGCTCTTAAGAATAACAAGGCACTCAGATGTGTACACAGTGTCCAAGTCCTTTGCTATATAATACTTATTGATTTTCCAAACCTGAGACCATTATTGACTATGGTAGAGTTTGGGGAAGCATTCTTAAGTTATAGGTAGATATAATATCTTCATTTTACATTTATGTGTTGCTGAGGATTGAACCCAGTGCCTCATGCATGCTAGCACTTTACCACTGAGCCACAACCCCAGCCCCTAAATTACTGTTATTTTAAAGGAGTTGATCTTACAGGGAACTGGTCACACTCCTTCTCAGTTCTCTTTCTTTCAACCTGATGTGTCTGATATCTGAATTGTGCACTGGTTCCCTATTATCCTATAACATCTAAAATATTTAATAAGTCATACAAGTTGTTCTTATGGAATCAGGTTACTGTTTTAGCCTCATGTTTTTACCCTTCCCAATATTCTAGGCTCCATTAATCTGAACTTCTTGCACTTTGCTGGAACCTTTTGCACTATTTGTTAAAACTGGTCTTTTGTCTTCATTTAGGTCTGCAATACTTTACCTCTTTCCTTGGTGCTTCACAACTAGTAGCATGTTTCTAGACAAAAAAAAAAAATTTTTTTTTGACTCAAACTTTCGAGAGGGGTATTTTATCATTTAAGTTTACTCTGTGATCTGCAAGATTTTTGTTGTGTCCTCATTAATCAGGTGGCATAGGTTTGAATCACTACTTTGTACTGTGTGACCAGGAGCAAATTACATGACATATATTGGCCTCATCAGTACATTTATACCAATCTAAGATAATTGTTGCAAGCATTAAATGAGATAGTCTATGTAAAGTATTCGATACGCTGTTTTACACACACACACACACACACATTCACACTCTCAATAAATGTTAGCTATCACTATTCATTTGTATTCTGTTGCCTGTGCTTTAAAAACTTTTTAAAAATTTATTTATAGTTTTTAGATATACAAGTGGCATCAGCAATATAATCATTCCTACCTCATTTTGTCTTGAAAATCAAATTAGCTGAAGAAATGACAATATGCATTTTGTTTTAAGAACTGTTTATTCTTTTTTTTTTTAAAAAAAATTATATAGGTCTGGCTAGTTTCTGTGGTGCAGTTTTTCGTAAATATCCAATTGATCTTGCTGGTCTCCTTCAGTATGTGGCCAATCAACTCAAAGCAGGCAAAAGGTAATCATAACATATGTAAATGAAATTCAATAATTAGAGTGCATCTGTGGTTTTGGAAAGACTACTGTTGATTATAGACATCTGTCCTGAAAGACTACTTGTTGATTATAGGCTCAAGTAGAACAGTTGCTCACTTATTTATATGGAATTTTTAATGAAGAGAAATTATAATTTAATACAAAGAGAGACACACCTTTTCAGAAATAAATGTAGTATTTGCCTATAAATGTAGCTCACTAAAAAGATACATTTACCTATTTTGACTGCCTGTTAGGCTTTTGAGTAAATAGTTAACATGGTATATTGTATATCCTCTCATGACAAAGCATATTGTGCTTCTGGGAAGTAATTTACCACATTGAGCATCTGGTAGGAACATGTTTATTTTAAAGGAGTGTATAGTATCTTTAAAATATAATTATTTTTAAAATTTGAACTTAAGATGTACATAAGGCTTATATAACTTTTGAACAGTGTTCTCTTCTTTATAAGTACCAAAATTTATTTAATTCTGGTCCAATATTAGTGCTTATAGTGAATTAGTATATATATTAAGCATCATCAGCAGTAAATTGGCTAGTATCACAGAAATTGACATTTTTTTCCTAAAGCTTTTTTTTTAATTATTTTTTTAGTTGTACTTGGACACAATACCTTTATTTTTATGTGGTGCTGAGGATTGAACCCAGGGCCTTGCACATGCGAGGCAAGTGTCCTACCACTGAGCCACAACTCTAGCTCCTCCTAAAGCTTTTTGATAGCTTTTAGTTTGTTTGCTTTCTATCTGTTGTTTTAAAGAAGTATTAAAGTGATTCTTGACTGATTTCTTATTTTGACTTTGTGAAAACATTTTAGAATGTGTGGACCCAGGATTTTGTCAACAGATCATTTATCAGCTATTCCTATACATTTTACTGTCTGTAGGCTAGAAGAACAAACATATTTTAATCTATACTCAGTTTTCTGTACTGTGAATATATTTTTGTGATCATCTGATTAAAACACAGTTTAAAGAAAAATTATTTCATGGGTACTTGTATACTAATTTGCACGATAACTCTCTTTTGAAATTGGGTCCACTTACAAAGAATATGAATAGTAGATTAAGTATTAGAGTTACAGAACTTGATAACTATGCTGTGGTTATATAAAAGAATTGCTCTGCTTTTAAAAAATGTGTTTTTAGGAATTTTAGGGAATAAAAGGCCATGATTTAAATAATTCATCTCAAATTGTTCAAAAATCCTGTGCGTGCATAGAACGGGAAGGAGAGAAAAAATGCAAAAGATAAAAGCAAACAGTAGTAAAAGTGGTAAAAGTAGATGAAATTGGGGTATAGGGTATGAGTGTGCTTTATACTCTTTTAATTATTTGTATCCTATGTGTAAGTTTGAAGTTATTTCCAAGTAAAAAATTAAACATAAACATGCATAAAATATTTTTTCAGAATAATTCTTTAAAAACCGTGCTAACCTCTCCTCCATGTGTATGTACAAATAATTGGGGCATTCTCAGTATATTAATTATAGTGTAGTGTGGCTTTCATATTGGATGTTTTAACTATCGAATATTTGTTTTTACTTTTGGAATAGTTTTGACCTGCTTATATTAAAAGAAGTGGTACAAAAAATGGCAGGAATAGAAATTACAGAGGAAATGACAATGGAGCAACTAGAAGCCATGACTGGTGGGGAGCAGCTAAAAGCTGAGGTAAGAGTTGCTATTTTTGTTTACTGACTTAAAATTTAGAATGTACACTGATCAAACCTAATCTTTGGTTTTGTATTTCAAGGTTTCAATTAATCCATAGTCAATCATGGTTCAAAAATATGAAATAGAAAAATCCAGATATAATTATTATATATAATATATATGTAATATAATACGTAATGATTATAAGTCTTTTTTTTTTTTTTTGACCAGAGGGCTTCTTCTTTTTTTTTTTTCTGGCCCAGATGAGGGCTCCAGCCCACTCACCAGATACACTTAAAATGTAAATACAAGCTTCCAGAACAAATGCTACAACACAAAACAGATACACATCGATTATAAGTCTTAATTTGAACTCCATTCTGAGTAGCATGATGAAGGATGAAGTCATGCCTCTCACTTATTCTCACCTGGGATGTGAATCATCCCTTTGTCCAGCATATATATGTTGTATATGCTAACAGCCCATTAGCCACTTAGTAGCCATCTCAAGTTATCAGATTGATGATATAAATAGATGTCTTCATTATCAGATTGATCATCGTAGTACTTGAATTCAAGCAACACTTCACTTAAATAGGCTCATGCTACATCATAATGCCTGTGTCCTTCATGTCATCACATAGACATTTTATCATCTTGCATCATAAGAAAGGAAAGTACAGTACAATAAAATATTTTGAGGCAGGGAGAGAACATCCACACATAATGTCACATAATTTTTATTGTGATATATTCTTATAATTCTTTATCAGTTACTATTAATATCTTACAGCGCCTAATTTATACATTAAACTTTATCATATATGTATGCCTGTATAGAAAAAAATGCTGTATGTTTATAGTTTGATGCTATCTGTGGTTTCAAAAATATACAATGAATTTTGGAATATATGTAAGATATATATGTATTATAAGGTAGCAGTACTATGTTCATGGTCATAGTCAAAAATTTAAACAGTAGCTCCATGCAGTGGTGCACATCTGTAATCCCAGTGGCTCAGGAGGCTGAGGCAGGAGAATTGTGAATTCAGAGCTAGCCTCAGCCAAAGTGAGACACTAAACAACTCAGTAAGACCCTGTCTCTAAGTAAAATACAAAATAGGGTTGTTGGGAATGTGGCTCAGTGGTTGAGTGTCCCTGAGTTCAATCCCCTGTACCAAAAAAAAAAAAAAAAAAAAAAGAAGGGAATGTTCCAAGTGTGATGGTATACAACCTTAACTCCAGCAGCTCAGGAGGCTGAGGCAGGAGGATTGTGAGTTCAAAGCCAGCTCAGCCATTTAATGAGGCCCTAAGCAACCCTGTCTCTGAGTTTGATCCCAGGTATGAAGCCCCCCAAATTCAAACAATACATAAGTATATAAAGCCAATGTCAAAGCCATATGTGTCCCCTTTCAGCAACCATACTACCTCCCTTTTAAAAAATTGAGATATATTAGTTATAGTAATCTTTTTAAAAAACAATATAAAAGACAGTATTACATGTGTACTAAAAAGAAGTTCTAGATCTTCAGTGCTCAGTGATATCCTCAGTGATATGCATAGTAACTCTATTGAACCTTTTCCACATTGAATAAAAATTGACAAGGGACTGCAAAGTGAAAAAATGGAAAATATGCAGAAGTTTAAATGCAATTAACAGTTATCTTTAATTCAGTGTGACCAATAACGGTGTCATTAGAATAAATTTGTGAAAAAAGGAAGGAATATCAAATGTAGGAATGTTTTATTTTCAAAATTATGACTTAGCTTTCTTCTATGTCTTTATCAAGTCAGAGGGTATGGGCTATGTGCATTGTATGCCAGTAAATTTATTTTCTCTTACGCAGGGTGGTTATTTTGGCCAGATTAGAAACACTAAAAAATCCTCTCAGAGATTAAAGGATGCATTATTGGACCATGATCTTGCTCTTCCTCTCTGTTTGCTTATGGCTCAGCAGAGGAATGGGGTAATCTTTCAGGAAGGCGGAGAGAAACATTTGAAACTTGTGGGAAAGCTCTATGACCAGGTAAGTGACTTTTGTATTGATGTAGATTTTTAAATCCTGATAAAGGGAAATAGAGAACATGATATAATTTGGAAAATTTCAATTTTGCACGTCATGTGAGTGGGAAAGAGTGGTAATGTTCAAATGGGCATTCTGAAATTAGGGCCTCTATTTCTGTACCGTTTTTGGTATTTAAGAGATGGCTGTAAGAGATGTTATAGTATGTATAATGTTTTTAGTTAAATATCCTATTATTAAATTCCTGCAGTTTCAAGTTGTTTCTTTTCCTATTTTTATTTATCTCTGGAAATCTGGAATTCAATCACAACATAGTAGATACCATCTCATTTTTTCTTTTTAATATGGTTGGTGATAGTTAAACACATTTAGTGTGCTAATTGTAGGTTTTATGCTTAATATTTATGTATACTATAAAGTTTTCATCTTTTAATAGCAAAGGAATTGGATTTGATTTGCCTGTGCATATTATTTTATGTAATTTTAGGTAAATATATTCTATTTAAAATGCCAAATAATAGCTTGGAACTTAAGAGATTTAATTGAGGGCTGGAGATGTGGCTCAAGCGGTAGCGCGCTCGCCTGGCATGCGTGTGGCCCGGGTTCGATCCTCAGCACCACATACCAACAAAGATGTTGTGTCCGCCGAAAACTAAAAAATAAATATTAAAAATTCTCTCTCTCTCTCTCTCTCTCTCTCTCTCTCTCTCTCTCTCTCTCTCTCTCTCTCTCTCTCTCTCTCTCTCTTAAAAAAAAAGAGATTTAATTGACTATTAAAGCCTTAGATTAATCAACCTATTAGGGCATTGGCATCTTCTTTGTAATATGACTTTGTGATTGTGTTTGTAGGTTGTCTTTAGATGTAAAATTTGTAGTTTTTTGACAATAGTAAAATATTTATTTGGCCAATATATATGTGAAAGCATCAGATTTAAGTTTTTAAAATTTTTAATTGACAGAAGAATTACGTATTTATGGGGTGTAGTGTGATAATCAGCTATATAGAGTGTGTAATGACTAAATTATCAATTAGAGTTTCCATCTCCTTAAACATTTTTCATTGCTTTGTGTTGGAAACCTTATAACTCCCCTTTTCTAGTTCTTTGTAAAATATATTGTTGTAAGCTATAATTTGCCTATTGTGTACTATTCAACACTAGATCTTATTCATTCTATGTAACTATAGTTTGGTACCTGTGATCCATCCTCAACATATCACTCCTCCTCTGACCTCATTCTTCTTTGTCTTTAGTGACCACTCTTCTGCTTGCTGCTTCTATGAAATCAACTTTTTTAGCTTCTACATATGAGTGGGAACATGTGGTAACTGTCTTTCTGTGCCTGGCTTATGCCATTTAACATAATGTCCTTCAGTTCCAACCATGTTCCCACAATTAAAATTTGAATTCTTAATTGTTGATCAAAATGTTATTAAAATGACATCTTAATCATTTTTGAAAATGTTTATGATGGTTTTATAGAATGTAACATTCTGTGTTTTTTGTCTCATTTTAAAAATTTAGTGTCATGATACCCTGGTACAATTTGGTGGGTTTTTAGCATCAAATCTAAGCACAGAAGATTATATAAAGCGAGTGCCTTCAATTGATGTGCTCTGTAATGAATTCCATACACCCCATGATGCAGCATTTTTTCTGTCTAGGCCAATGTATGCGCATCATATTTCGGTAAGTACAGGTATCTTTGTTACCATTCAAGAATGATTCAAAATGCTTTCTTAAGTGTTTGAGTTTTAAATGTATTTTAGTTTAATATAGATTAGGTCTCTTTAGAGTTATTATCTTTTGTTAATATTCATTTCCAAATGGTGTACAATACAAGTGTATCCTTTTTTTAATAGCTTATTTTTATTAGCACATTATAGTTATATATAGTAGTCAGATTCATCCTGACAAAATCATTCATGCATGGAATTTGATTTCAGTTCATGATCTCCCCATTTTCCTTTCTGCCCTCCTTCCCCTCTCCCATTCTCCTTCCTCTATTTATATAAGTGAAAATACATCCTTTAACAGTGAGTCTGTTGGGTGTAGTGGTGCATGCCTGTAATACCAGTGACTCAGGAGGCTGAGGCAGTAGGATTGCAAATTCAAGGCCAGCCTTAGCAAATTCATGAGACCTTGTCTCAAAGTAAAAAAAAAAAAAAATAAAAAAAATAAAAAAGACTTGGAATGTAGCTCAGTGGAAAAGCACCCCTGTGTTCAATCCCCAGTAACCTCCCTCCCCCCAAAAAGTCATTTTATTGTTACTGCTCCAACAGTTGTCCTGGTTGATGTCTTATGGACACTTGCAAACTAGTTTTCAAACCCAGATGAGAATTACCAGAGAAGCATCTTAAAAACTCAGCATCCTCAGGCCCAAAATTCTAATTCAGTAAATTGAAAAGTGCTTGGGAATTTGTGCGTGTGTTGTGTGTGTGTGTGATTTTTTTTTTTTTTTGGTTTTGGTTGTTATTGTGTGTGTGTCTGTGTGTGTTTATGATGCTTGTGAATATGAGTGTGTCTCTTGAGTAACATTCCTAATGGCTACAGAGAAACCTGTTTTTTTCAGAATATTCCTGTCAGATGACTATTACCCATAATGCTTAGAAAGGAAGAAGAATTAACAACCAATGCCTAAAAATTATTGCCTTTTCTTTTGTTTAGCTTCTAGGAAAGGTGTATTTATGGTTATTTTCTTCTCTCCATTTAAATGAAACCGTTAAAAAAACCTGCCTTAAAATAAGCCAAAGCCCGCCCAGCATGGTGGTACAGGCCTGTAATCCCAGTGGTGTGGGGGCTGAGACAGGAGGATCTCGAGTTCAGAGCCAGCCTCAGCAAAAGTGAGGCTCTAAGCAAGTCAGACCCTGACTCTAAATAAAATACGTAAAAGGGCTGGGGATGTGGCTCAGGGGTTGAGTGCTGCTGAGTTTTTAATCCCTGGCAACACCCCACAACACACACCAAAAAAAATAAGCTGAAAACTTCCCAAGCATGGCATCCCAGTAGTGACTATATTGGAATTCCAGTGAAGATATGGGGCAGAGTAGATAGCCCTTCCTCAACTGTCACCTGTACTGGTCCCTGCAAAGCATGACCTCTAATGGGAACCTACTTTTCATTCCCCCCTTAGGGCCTTGTCAATTTATGGAACCCCCAGCATATCCTTCATTTTTTCTGTAGACATGGATTTTGGCCCTTTTGTTTATTTGTTGTTTTAAAATCTGTACTATATAGAAATTTCAGTTAAGATTTTGGGGAAGATCTTGTACCTTTCTCTTAAACTAAGATTCCTTCTTTTTTTTTCCAGTAGGGACACAGAGCTGTGTAGTAGAGGTATGCAAAAAAAGGTGCTGAGAAATGTGAGGTTCAACTGATCGTGTAATTGACCATTCACTGTTAGTGTTTATGTATCAACTGCTGCAGTTTTTCGCTTCCCTCTAATAACTAACTAAATGTTCCTGGATTGAATTACCACTTTATTAGCATCATGCAATGCTTTCTGTCCTATACACTCTAGTGAGAAAACTAGGATCAGGGAGTAGGGTTAGGCCTCTTCTTCCCCTTTAGAATCTCTCAATCCGAAGAATTATATGCTGTCTTTCTGTAGTTATGTCTTAAATTGTTGCTCTACCTCACAGTAGATGTGTCTCAGCTATAGAAACAAGAGATCTGATTTCTTGAAGATCTGAGATGGGAGAATTGCTTAATCTCAGAAATTCTGACTTGTCCTGTCCTGTACTGAGAAGTGAACACACTAATTGGTGATAATGAACCTTGGCAAACAGGAACACCTGGTTGTCTGAATTTTTCCTGGTCAGAAAATGGAGCAGGTCATTCATACCAGTAACTATATTCATATATTCATACCTATTTACTGGCCCATGTAAAATATTGTTTCTGTGTTTTTTAAGAGACAGAAAATCAAAGAAGTGGAATTTCCTTCTCAGGGCTAAGGAAAAAAACAAGAGTATATGAAGTTGGTTATATAGTCCATGCAGAGAGAACTTCTTTTTCATGCCCCTCTCTGAAAAGGGAGTTCCTCAGCAACATGGTTGCACTGGGTGGTCATCCATACTGCCCTGGGGATCCTTACTTTTGTATTTTAGGTGAACTCCTTCTTTTGAAGGGCCTTTCATGAAAGAAGGAAAGCACATGAATATTAGAGGACTGTTGGGTTCCTTCCATAAATTGGTGATTACAAGTCTCTCTTGGGAATAATTCAACCAAACACTGCTCAGATTTTTAGGCCAATAAGAACTTTTTGAACAGTAGTCAGAAGTACAGTATAATGATTTGTTAGCAGTTCTGTTGCATACATCTTGTTTCCCAGGTGACTTGTGATGTAAAAAACTGTTTGATTCTTCTTTCTACTGAAGATATGAGCTTCAAGTGCTAGTTAGTTTAACTAGACCAAGAAATAGTCATCCTAGGTAAATATGAAATACCACTGACTTTTCTGATCGAGCTTATTTTTCTAACTAGATAGGGATTAGGAGGAGGCCTAGCCATAAAAGTCACAGGTTCAGAAACAGAGGACTGGGGAGACTGGAGTTAACAAATAGCCCTCTCATACCTGTAGCATACTTTTTACTTTTAATTGTTGAAACATCTTGAGACACAGGTTTGAAGGAAAAGCTTTGCCCCAGTGCATGTTCTAAGTCTTTCTCAAATTAGTTAGCTATGTTATCTAATGCATGTAGTTTCAGCACTGTTTTATCCTGTGTTTTGTTAGACCTTAGCAGATGTCATTCTGCTCACCTAGATTCATATTAGTTACCTTCAATAAGATCTACTTTATCAATTTAAAAACCCTGTGTTCCCTCGTTGCTATTCTCTCAGGTCTCTGATGTAATTGAGACTTACACTCATAACTAGTTTTCTTTGTAGCTTTGTCACTTGTATATTCTCACTGTCAGCATGTTCTCTAACATGGAGATAACAGGAGATAAGTCTTCCAACTTCTAGAACAGTACTAAGGACTTGTTATGCTTTTAGTTCATTGAACTTAGGGGTAGAGCAGCATCCAAGGCACTTAGGAAGTAAGGCACCTGGACTGTAAGGAGTTGAGCCTCTTGCCTGTTAGTACAGAACTGGTATAGAACCTTTGACCTCTGACCATCTATTTTTGGGTTACATGTTTAGCACAAACTGAAAGACTTAAGTTCTTTCCTAACACTTTAAGAATGATGCCTAATCCAAGTGTAATTTTCCTGGTGAGAGCTCTTTTATCCTAAAGAGACTGATGGACATGAGATAATAACAACTCTATTCTGTATTACTTTTTTTTTTTTACATTTCCTCTATGGACTAATATACAGTCCATCTTATACTAACAGATTTCTTTCTCATATAGCTAAGAGGATGGCCTTTCCTCTGACTTTCTTCCAAGTTAGCATACATTAGTCAGGCCAAAGAAGCAATAACATTAGTTATCACATGCTTTAAACTTCAATATACCACAGCTAATTATAGAAAAATTTATTTGGCTTAGCAGTAGAGTAACCAGCTGGTCCCGGTTTGCCTTGAACTTTCCCAGTTTTAGCACTAAAGTCTTGCATCTGGATAAACCTTTAGATCCCTGGCAAACCAGGACAGATGGTCACCCTACTTTAGCAGTCTTAAAGAAATTTTCTCAACTTTTCCTAGAGTTGATCTGGCTTATTAATTGACAAATTGTAACAGTTGGTGGAAACTGTGTGCAGTGATACTACGTCTTTGGTTGGCTGTTACTAGTTCCATTGTACTTCTTGACTAATGTTACAACCCTCCTCTTGGTCTGTCAAACATCTCAAAAGGAGGACTGGAAGCCCTGCATGTTCATGGACTGTAAGGAGTCCTGCATGTTCCATCCCTGATAGAGCAGTAAGATGGAGTAGGGTGGGGAGAATGGTTGGGGGTACATATATCTTGTTCACTCACTCAGAAGATCAGCTTTTATTAAATCTCCTGAAAAACTGCTGAACATGAGACTAAAGATTGGAACAGCTTCCAGGGATGATTTATCTTAAAGTGTTAATGTTCAGGAACTAGAATTTCCATAACAGTTTTAAGATGGTCATCTTGATTCTTTAAAAGGGAATACAAGTTTTTATATCATGAAAGTTAAAGCTATAAATTGTGTTGTGTGTGTATGAATTTTTTTTTTTACCTTTTATCTCCAGTCAAAATATGATGAACTTAAAAAATCAGAAAAGGGAAGTAAACAGCAGCATAAAGTTCATAAGTACATTACGTCATGTGAGATGGTGATGGCTCCTGTCCATGAAGCAGTGGTCTCCTTACATGTTTCCAAAGTCTGGGATGACATCAGCCCACAATTCTATGCCACATTCTGGTCATTGACAATGTATGACCTTGCTGTTCCACATACCAGCTATGAACGAGAAGTCAATAAGCTAAAAGTCCAGATGAAAGCAATTGATGACAATCAGGAAATGGTATGTTTTTGTTCTAGCAACTCAAGTGCAATAACTTTATGGTAATTAATTCAGTGTTACTCCATATTTTGTTTTAGCTCGGGATTCTTGAAGCTCTTGTTGCTGGATAATATTTTCTTGAGTGGGTTTAATGGTAACCTCTTAATTGGTGGGGCAGAGGCTTGGTGAATGGATGGAAATTATGATTAATCAAAAAGCAATTGAGGAGGCTGGGTTGTCGCTTAGTGTAAGAGCGCTTGCCTGGCATGTGGGGGGCACTGGGATCGATTCTCAGCAATCTATCTATCTATATATATATATATATATATATATATATATATATATAATTATAAAAGGTCCTTTGACAACTAGGAAAGTATTTAAGAAAAAAAACGCAGTTGAGTTTGCTTTTCTTCTGAAGGCTGTGCTGGTAACTGAAAGTTATGTGACTCCAATTGCAAGAACAGTAGGACTTTCCAGAAGGGGAACTCTTTAGAGAAGACTTTCTTGAAGAGCTGAGTCTAGAGTCAGGCAGGCCTTGGAAATATGGAGGTAAAAGGGACACCACTCTATAGTGTTCGAGTAAAGGAAGAAATAGCATAGTGATAAATTTATATAGTAAGGATGGTGCCAGATTATATAAGGCATTGAAAGATAGAAAAATAGATGAAATTGAGGGGGCTGGGGATATAGCTTAGATGATAGAGTGTTTGCCTCACATGCACAGGGCCCTGAGTTCAATCCCCAGCACCACCAAAAATAAAAAATAAAAATAAAAATAGATGAAATTGAGAGCTGCTTTAGCTAAGCAGGGAAGTAATAATCATTAAAAATGGTACTTTAAAAAGGTAATGACAGCAGTATTAAGGGTACTTTTGATAAGGAAAGGAGCAAGCATTAGGCTAGTGACCCTAGGTGACTTTTCTGGGTAATTCATTATGAGATATAGACCACTGACCATGGTCAAGATAGTGGGATACTGCAGATAATTGGGATATATTAATAAAGAAGGAAGAGTCAAAGATAACTCCATGCATGCCCCAGATGGAATTTATCAGTGTTAAGGAAGGTGGCCTGGTGTGCTAAGACTCTGTGACACTGTTCTGGATGTGATGAAATGGAGATGAAAGTAACACATCCAAGTGGATCTACTGTACATCTGTATTGAAGTTATTATAAAGTGCCAACATTTAGCTGTTCAATTTTTTAATTAAAAAGGGAGGGTAATGTGCATATAGTTAGAAAGTATCTAACTTCTACTTTGTAGCCTCCAAATAAAAAGAAAAAAGAGAAGGAGCGTTGTACTGCTCTTCAAGACAAACTTCTTGAAGAAGAAAAGAAACAGATGGAACATGTACAGAGAGTTCTACAGAGACTGAAATTGGAAAAGGACAACTGGCTTTTAGCAAGTAAGTTGTTGGAAATATTACATATCCTTGCTACTGCTAAATTACAAAAAACAAACCTTTATAACTTTGGAGGTGTTGAAGTGTATTGTTTGTATTTCAACTCAGTGCTCACTATCCCATTCTTTGGTTATTCATTAATGCAGAATCAACTTCACATTTCCACTGAAGGAACTGATTTAGTTTGAAGTGAAATTAATTAACTCATAACTATAATATTAGCAGCTTATCATTCAGCTTTTCTGTATAAAAATCATATTTCTGGGAAAATTGTAGATAGAATATGTACACATTGAATAAAAGTGATAGTCTTATCCCAGGCATGACCTTTTGGTTACAAACTATAGTGGTTTTATAGCATTCTCTACACTAAAGTTAATATGTTGTCATATTTAGTGGCCTTGAGGCACTTGAGGAAGAAATTTACCACTTAATATATTCTTCCCTTATTTTTAGAATCTACCAAAAATGAGACCATCACAAAATTTCTACAGCTGTGTATATTTCCTCGATGTATTTTTTCAGCAATTGATGCTGTTTACTGTGCTCGTTTTGTTGAATTGGTACATCAACAGAAAACTCCAAATTTTTCCACACTTCTTTGCTATGATCGAGTAAGTTCTTTTTATTGCAACTTTAAAAAGTCTCACACAAAGATAGCTAAAACATTATAGAGGTATTGTGTGTTTGGTTAAAAGCATGAACTCAAGAGCCAAGTGCCTGAACTTGAATCCTAGCTCTACTACTTTCTAGCAGTCTGATCTTTGACAAGTTATTTAACTTCTCTGTGCCTCAGTTTTCTTATCTGTAAGATGGGACAAAAGCACTTGCTTCATGAGATTGTTGTGATGATTAAATGAGTCACTACAAGTAAAAAGCACTTTGAGTAATAACTATGTAACAGCATTCAAGATTAAGCTATTAAATCATCATTTGAATTTATGTCTTATCATCATAGACAGGATTCTTCTCCATTCTTCATTTCTCAAAAAAAAAAAACACAAAACAGAATAAAAAATTTTACATCTTCTTGCCTACATAAAATCAGAGAAGCTTTTTAGTGTGGTCATATTCACAGATTTTTGCATCTGGCTTTTTTCTTATATTGAATTACTGCATTTTGTGGTTTAGAAATGTCATGTACATTATAGCATGTCAGCTGCCTATTTTAGTTTCAGTTTTGCTTCTGCTTACTGTCCCCCAGTCCTAGCCATATTTATAGCTCTCTTTAAGAAGTTATTATGTGATAATGATGATAGTTTTTTTTTCTGTCATAAATCAGCTTTCTTTATAAAAGTTCTTTTCTTGTTGTTGCTTTATGAATGTGCTATTATCTCTCAATAGCCAGACTCTCCAAAAGTCTCTGCAAGTATGAATATAAAAGGGGAAATACATTTTGACTGAATTTACCTGGTATGACTTGCTATAATACAATGTTCTAATAATTAAACTGGTTTGACCTTGGCTTTTTTTTTTCTTAACTACTTTTCCCTGTAGGTTTTCTCTGACATCATTTACACAGTTGCAAGCTGTACTGAAAATGAAGCTAGTCGATATGGGAGATTTCTTTGCTGCATGTTAGAGACTGTGACCAGGTGGCATAGTGATAGAGCCACATATGAAAAGGTATGATAAATACCTTATGTTTTACTCATGTATAGAATGACCACTTGCAGTAATCTTTAGATTGTTCAATTTTAAAAGGGAAGCTGAGTTTAAGATCCAGTTGTAAAGAATAGCATACCTTTTTATTCTATTTTAAACTGGCATTTCAAATTGGGATCATGCAATAATCCAAACCTTTTTGTGAAAACTACCTATCCAAATATTCATGCTGTTTTTATGTGGAATCATTGATCTAGTCTACTTAAGTTTCAGCTAGTCTACTTAAGTTTCAGCTTTTGTTTTGTCAGATGTAACTTTAAAGGTGACAAACTGTTTTTCCTTAGGAATGTGGAAACTACCCAGGATTCCTTACCATATTACGGGCAACTGGATTTGATGGTGGAAATAAAGCTGATCAATTAGATTATGAAAATTTTCGGCATGTTGTACATAAATGGCATTACAAACTAACCAAGGTAAAAAAAAATGGTTTTTTAAAAAGTATTTTCTCTTCGTATTTGTACTTTAATAATAATAATGGATCTTAAAATGTTTGTTGTAGGCATCGGTACATTGCCTTGAAACGGGCGAATATACTCACATCAGGAATATCTTGATTGTGCTAACAAAAATACTTCCTTGGTATCCAAAAGTTTTGAATCTGGGTCAGGCTTTGGAAAGAAGAGTGCATAAAATCTGCCAAGAAGAAAAAGAGAAGAGGCCAGATCTATATGCATTGGCTATGGGGTAACAAAATTATACTTTAATGTAATTTATGAGACTAGCTGACAGAAGGATTCTGAAGACTTTAAAATGTTTTACAGTGTTGAAGTTTATCTTCTGCCTTACTTCAGGAGATTATGGGAGATTATGCGCTCATGTTCCCACAGGCTGGTGAGAGTTGTCACTTCTGATTATCAACTTCCGGTCTATACTGGATGATAGTGTCACAAGTCATATATACTACGTCTCAAATGGGAGGAAATGTAATATTAACATCATAGTGAATTTATCAGATCTTCAAGAGCAAAAAAAAAAAAGTCAGTTTAAGGATTAGTTTATTTTGAAGTTATTTTTAAGAAAGTATTTAGGACTCTCTAAAAGCACCTTTAAGAAATTACTGAAAATTAATATTTTTTATTATCTGGAACCAAGTAGTTGAACAAATAATTTGCTAATTTTATTCTTTTAAACCCCATGTTTGTGCTTTTTGATTTGTATTTGTATATTTAAACACTTTGTGCGACTTTCAGCTACTCTGGGCAGTTGAAAAGTAAAAAGTCATACATGATACCTGAAAATGAGTTTCATCACAAAGACCCCCCTCCGAGGAATGCTGTGGCCAGTGTACAAAATGGGCCTGGTGGTGGGCCTTCTTCATCATCGATAGGAAGTGCATCTAAATCAGATGAAAGCAGTACTGAGGAGACTGGTATGCTTATTTGTAGAAACTTATAAATAATAGTTTTTGTTTTATCATATTGGAATGTTTTATATCATGTGACAAGTATGGTGCTAGCCTAATATTATAATTTTATTCCTTAGGTGAGAGTATGTAACTGTTAAAAAGTAATCATTCTGCTGATTCTAATTATCCTCTAATCATTTGGCTGTGAAATTGTTTATTTACATTTAGGGGCTTGTTAAAGAAAACCTTATTTTTATTTCAGATAAATCAAGGGAGAGATCTCAGTGTGGTGTGAAAGCTGTTAATAAAGCTTCTAGTGCCACACCAAAAGGGAATTCAAGCAATGGAAATAGTGGCTCAAACAGGTAGGAACATAGTGCCATATGTCACAATTCTAAATTTCCTTTAATTGGCCTCATTAAGCATAAATCGAAGGAGGGTAGTAGTTGAGCAGTATGAAAGTCATTTAAGTTGGACTTTGAAATTTTGTATATACCCCTATTTTGATGATGTGTGCTCACCATCTAAATTATGGTTTAGCAGTTTTGTTTCCCATGTTGGGATATTCAGGGAGATGTAGGTGGTGAAGTTAGAAAAAAATTTAGGATAGAGTGATTGCTATGGGCAATCTGAGTAAGTCTAGTTAACCTAGGAAAAGCCTACACTAATTTAGAGTAGTAAATCCATCCAGCTCAATAATTCATCCCCTGATGCTAGCACCCTTGGTTGATTTGTGGAATATATTTTTGGATTTTACTTTGTTAGCCTCAAAGATTATGAATGTGTACAGAAAGAACCTGATGTTCTTTTAATTTGCTTTCATGAATTTGCTTATTATTTACTGGATAAAGAAATATTTTCCTTTTTACTTAAGTTGTCCTTTACTTTTCAAAGGATTCCTCTTAGTTCTAGGATTTTTGAAGTCAATAAGAAACCCTATTATGATTTTAAACATGGAATATATTTTATGAGTATTTGTCCTAAAATCCGCTTTTATTCTTAAGCAGCAAAGCTGTTAAAGAAAATGACAAAGAAAAAGGCAAAGACAAAGAAAAAGAGAAAAAAGAAAAGACTCCAGCTACTACTCCAGAGGCCAGGGTACTTGGTAAAGATGGTAAAGAAAAACCAAAGGAAGAGCGGCCAAATAAAGATGAAAAAGCAAGAGAGACCAAGGAAAGAACGCCTAAGTCTGACAAAGAAAAAGAAAAATTCAAGAAGGAAGAAAAAACTAAAGATGAGAAATTCAAGACGACTGTTCCCATCGTAGAATCAAAATCGACTCAAGAAAGGGAAAGAGAGAAGGAGCCATCCAGAGAAAGAGATATAGCAAAGGAAATGAAATCAAAGGAAAATGTTAAAGGAGGAGAAAAAACAACAGTTTCTGGGTCCTTGAAGTCACCTGTTCCCCGATCAGATATTGCAGAGCCTGAAAGGGGCAAGTGTGCCTTTCTTTATATTTGTTTACCTTTTTGTTATTTTAATGTGCATTTGTTTGTCTCCTTGTTTTGGTAAGTTATGTAGAGATTTTGCTAGGGAGATGAACACATGATGATCTTAAAAGTTGTTCCTTTTCTTTTAAGTGTTTGGAAAACTAGAAATACACTCTATTCTGACCATTTCTTTTTGTCCTAACAGAACAAAAACGCCGCAAAATTGATACCCACCCTTCTCCGTCACATTCCTCCACAGTAAAGGTTAGTATAGCCTGAGGAAGGCAGCGTCCATGTTAGGCTCACCTGTTTGGAATACCAGTGTCCTGACTTCCTTCAAGTCTTGTGCCAAGTATTCACTGGAGCCACTGGAGGTTTTATATTGCATTAGAAAATGAATTTTTTCTGTATTGGTGGACTGATATTTTTTCCTATTGAGTATTTTTATTATAAAAATGTTAAAACTTCAAGGACCTAGCACTAATTTTGTAGTGTTTCAAAGTGCAAGAGAAATTTTACCCAGAAGTGCCTCACTGCTTTAAGCAGGCTTTTTTGGAGTGCAATGGTAGCTACAAGCAAATGAATCTTGTCAGCAGAAAGAAGCCTATTTTTCAGCATAAATATTGAAGAATATATAGCACTGAAGACTTCCTGGATGATACAGGATAAACAAGATACCTCTGAATTCATCAAGCTTCTTGATGAGCATCATACCGATGTGCCTTCTAAGAAGGAGTCTTGAAAGGAGTTCCATTTTAAAGTCTCCTTGGTGATCAGTTCTCCTGTAGTTGTGTATATTCAGTGAGCATGCAGCTTCTGTTGTATCTTCCCTTGGAGGTTTGTTTATACCCATTGGGTTCCCAACAAGTTGAACCTTGCGTTACGATAAGAGCAGATGTGGCATCCAATCCTACCACCCAGCAAAGAGAAACCCCAGGCATTCAACTGCAGCACAAAATCGTGGGTGTAGCCTTCTTGAAGACTCAGGGTAGCCATTCCTTGCTCCATATTTAATTTTAATACTAAAGTCATCTAATTTCATGGAATCTTTGAATTTGCAGTACATTGAACTTTTAAAACTGTAAGTTATTAATTCTTCATCAAGAGCACTGTGGTGGAATACCGTAATTGATTTCTTTTTCTTTCTTCCTTTCTTTTTTTTTAAATACTCTTTTTTTCTTGTGGGAGTTATGAGATTCACCAATCATAGATGCTTTGCAAAAACAGTGCTCTACTCTTTTGTTGAATATATTTTGTTTTATTGTAATATAATGCCACTAAATTTTTCAGCTAGGATTAAAAAAATATGTATAAGAGTTTTAAGTGAAGTAAAGTTTGAAATCTTCCAATTAAAGAAAGACTATGAAAATATAAGTTAATGTTCTTCCGCAGTGACCTCCACTATTTTAAATATTTTGTGGAGAAAAAAAAATGTTTTGCTTTCTTAAGTCTCTTAAATTACTTAAAGCATAAGTGCAGAGATATTTTTAAAAAGTGGCATTGACATTTACAAATTTGAGCAGAAAGAAATTTTTTATTTCTTACATCGAGTGCATATAATTTAGTTTTTTTACATAATTCCATTACATAGTTTTTTATTGTTGATATTCATATTGATAATGATATCATGGAATTTATCTTCACAAGAGGTAGCTGATTTATTTCCAGGTTACAGCCATACTTCCCAAAGTTCCTCTGGGTTCTGAGAACTATGCCAGCTCACCTGTCATCTCCATTCATTTTCTACAGGACAGTCTCATCGAACTCAAGGAGTCTTCCGCAAAGGTTTGAGTCTTTTAAAATCATCATGCCTAAGTAAACCAAAAAGTTCTTTACTTCTTTTTTTTTTTCAGTAGATACTCTCACACTAGTAAATTATTAAGCCAGGATCAGTGGGAAAAAGTACCCTGTTTATTTAGAATTTCTTATCACAAACTAAAAGAACAGATGACAATGGTCCCTTTAGAGAGATTGTATTAAATATGTGTAATGTGGCAACATTTCTATAATCTTTCCTTGCTTGCTGTGTTATGCATTCTTTTATGCTTCAAAATTTAAAATAAGTTTAAGGTTTTGGAGGGGAGAATTTCTGGGTTTTTTTGGGGGGGCGGCATAGGGTTATTTAATTTCTCGAATCTGACAGACTATTTTGGACTGCTTTTTAAAGACAGCTCAGAAGACCAAAAAGGTAATTCGATGGATTCACATAACTTTTTAAAAAGCTGAGTCCATTTCAATCTGTAAATTTTTTAAATATTTCCTTTCCTGAGATATCTTTTTGGCAGTTGTAGCATAATATCATGCAATACAGTTAATATAAAATAATAATTCCCCTGGATGGGAATACTCAAATTGGTGTTTGTGTTTATGTGTCAGTATTTTTATTATTCTACTTTTCTGGGTATTCTGCTACTAAAAATAGTGTACAGTTTGTGTATCATTACAATTATGGAGTTATTTTCAGTATCATAGTTGAATTGCTTATTGTTCATGCCATTTTGTTTTTATTATAAAATTCATACCCTCCTTTACTTTTTCTATTTTACTGCCTCTTTTATTTGCTAATTATGATTCCTTACTGATGGACCAAATGGAACTTTGAAAGTCACCTGACATGACTACTAACTGCTTTTAGACCTATAGCTTTATAATGAAACATCTGTGGATTCTGGGCAAATAAGCACTACTTTTTAACAGTGTAGATTAGCTAATGTGCTTGTGCTCTAAGAATGTGGCATTGTTTTTAGAATATACTATATTGATCAAAATAGTATCAGCTTTTACCATGAGTACCTTTAACAACAAAGTAAAACCATTTTTTTGGCTAAGTTAAATATGTAATGCAATATAGTAGGTCTTCATAACCAGTTTGGGATTGTATGTGCCAGTCTTAACCATCAGTGGCTTGTGTGGGCTGTTTTAAATTCATGGGTTAACAGTCTTGTATTTATTTACTGAAATGTACTATGAAGCAGTTTGAGATCTGCTGTTAAAAAATTAACTGAATTTTCTAAACAATGAAGAAAATTACGGTTTCTCACATACATAAAACACTTTTGAAAATAAAATGTGAGATGACATGTATTTGTCTCATTTCATTCTCATAACAGTGCTGTGAGGCTAAATAGGGCAGATGGTACTGTCTTTTTGACAAATGAGAGGCTGAAAAAAGTTCTTGAGACTTCCCAGTGGCATACAGCTAGTTAGTATCAAAATGGGAACTAAAATCAAGGTTCCTCTATTCTTAGCACCCATTTCAACAGCAGTAGAAAGGGAACCCAGCTCCTTTAGTGTGTTTTTATTTTTTAAATTATAGTGATTCAAGTCGGTTTCCCCACCTTTTTTTTAATAACAACTTTGTGGGCACTTAATATTCAATTACTTATTCTGCGTGCAACCAGAAAAATTTGAAAATGGCATATAAATATGCTTCTAAAATTATGTGACTCATACCACTTTTCAGATCTTTAGTGTTTAGCATGATGCTCAGCAATAAATTAGGTATTCAATACATATTTGAAATGAACTCTTAAGCCTTTGGACTTTGCTGAAACATCCAAAGTACTGTTATGTGTAGTAGCTGATGTTGCATTTTTATGTGTCTAGAAAGTTTAAGAGCATATGAATGTGTTAGAATACAATTTTTTCCCGGACTTGAGTGATCTCTAAAATTGATTATGCATAACCTCACCGTTTCTGGGATAGCTTTCATTTTCTAGACAGTTTGGAGGATATGTGTTTTGTGTTATCATGTCACTTGTGCATATAAAATTGTTTCCCTGCTTTTAGGTATGTTTTGCCTCTGGGAATCTCTCTTTTATTAATTTTATTTGGCCAATGTATTGAGCACTCATTGTGTGTAGTTAGCACTAGGAAGTATATAAAAGTAGAAAAGACACCCTAGCTCTGATAGCATACCAAAAACTATTATGATAAAAACAAATGACATGAAATTAATAGGGAACACCTGTCATAGTCAATCAATCAATCAATAAAACGAGTTCATTGGAAAATGAATTGCAGAGTTGAGGGATGGTTGCAGTGCTGATGGCTATTGAGCTGTGTCTGAAGGCTAAGTAGGATTTTAAGAAATTAAAAGTGAGTAACCATTTTAGTAAAGAGAACTACTGGAAAGATTCAGAGTTAGGGAGCTGTATACACACACACACACATACACACACACACCCCTCTTGGGGAGAAATAAGCAATACTTCTTTTAGAAAAATCTTTTTGAGTATTGCAGTAATAATTATTTCCTTTATTTTATCATTTAATAAATAATATTAGCCTAAGGTGTGAATAAACCTCACAATTAGAAAAATCCTGAAGTGTTATTTAAGTCATACCCAGCAAGAGTATCTTTTAGGCAAGTACTTTTATGACTGTTTATCATTCTCTTGCTCTTTGTTATTAATAAACATTTTGTATATTTCAGTTGATCATAAACTTTTAAACTTTGAAATTTTAAAAAATATACTTCTGCATTGCTATGGCAATATTTCTCAGCCAACTGAATTGCAATTGTTTGGTGTAAAAAAAATGTGTTTAATTCTCATACTGATGTCTTCCTTTTTCTTGTATTCCTTTGAATACCAAAGAATTCCTTCATGTAAAAATATTTGACTTTTGTCTCAATATTCTGTTAATTTCTAAGGTACATCTGGAATTGTGCAGTTATGTAATGGAGTTGTATTTGGTATTCTGTTGCCTAATATTTGAATGTATTAAATTAAACATAAACTTGTAGGATGGTTATAATACCCTAAGATTAGGTTTTGGGCTATTTCCTGACTGTTGCTTAAATATTTTCTTTTATAGTGGATTTCCATATTTATAACTTGTATAAGTAGGGTTATCTCTCAGTTACTTAGAGTTAGAATATCCTTGATGTCTGGTTGTTATCTTGCCCCTCTGTCTTTTGGCAGAGAAAGAACAAGCAGAGGAGAATATTTGTTCATTACTTTCCAGTATTTTAGTAATGTAATCACATGATGGCTTTTTGAGCTGATTAGAACCGATTAGACAAATTTCATACTCAGTTGTGGTTATTTGAGAAGTAGAGAATATGCAGCAGTTTTGATTTACATTTATAAAAAATAATTTTGGACAGTTGCTACATGGTTTACACTGAGGCAGAAAGGACTTGCTAGTAAAGTCATAGCTCTGTTTTATTTTTATATTTTTGCTCACAGTCATCATTGACTGCCTATTCATGGATAGTAAGAATTTAAAATTTCCATGATTGTGCAGAGGTTTGTATTTTTTTATGCAACAGAGAAAGTCCAATTATTGTTTTCCACATATGGACTCTAATATTTGTGGTTATAGGTCTTTACAACAGATTGATGATGAGGACTCTGGCTAGTGAATTTACTAAATAAGGAGTCTCAGTCAAGGCAATAATGAACTGATTGAGTTTTAAGTTGCTGTTTTTATAAGGACAAGACATGAAAACCTTTGTATTTGTGTGATGCTCTTTTATTTTATCTCTTGTAATGCAGACAGCTGACCAGTTTTAACTTTGGGTCTAACTGCCACTTGTCTTTCATTTATTAAACAAACAAAAAAACCCCAAAAGATTCCAATACTGGAAAACTAATAATCTTTAGTAATATTGCCTTAATTTAACAGCTCTACATTAATCATACTCCTCCACCACTGTCCAAGAGTAAGGAGAGAGAAATGGACAAGAAAGATTTGGACAAGTCAAGGGAAAGATCCAGAGAAAGAGAGAAAAAAGATGAAAAGGACAGGAAAGAGCGGAAAAGGGTTTGTACTTTTTTAAAAACTAGTTTGGAAAGTTGGTTATTGTATAGTAGTGTGTTTACCTTTCAAAAAATACTACTTTGTTCCATAGCAGTCTGTTGTTTTGAGTTTTAATTGGTATTTTCACCCTAAAGTGTGTTTGCATCTTCTACAGTAATAAGGATCTTCAGCCTAGTAATCTCTACCAGCTCTGCTTGTCTTTCATGCCATTTTACCAAGTATGTGAAACTGCTGCAAATATTCTCCAGTGCTAGTTAGCTGTACCTTTCTTGTATAAAAGTAATGCTTTAAAATAAAAGCATAAACTGTTGATCAATGTAGTTCACAATTCTTGGTTTTAGGATCACTCAAACAATGACCGGGAAGTTCCACCAGACTTAACCAAGAGGCGGAAAGAGGAAAATGGAACAAGTAGGTAGATTTATTGATACCTTCAAAGCAATCATCAAATATATCAGAAAAGGCTTTTATGATTTCTCTTTTGTAATTTTAGTGGGGGTTTCAAAACACAAAAGTGAAAGCCCATGTGAGTCTCCTTATCCAAATGAGAAAGACAAGGAAAAAAATAAGTCAAAATCTTCAGGCAAAGAAAAAGGCGGTGGTGATTCATTTAAATCTGAGAAGATGGATAAAATCTCTTCTGGTGGCAAGAAGGTAAATTAGGAATATAATGGAACAGTATACTTTGAAAAAATAAACTCTTTGAAAATTTGGCAAATATTGATTATTTTTACCCTAGTCAAGTCATGTTTTTTGTTTTTAAATTTTTTGGTATTGGGAAGAAAATGCATTGGGCAAATTATGTGTTTTGGGAATTTGAACCAAATCAGTCCCAAATTACTGGGAGGGTAGAGTTAGTATACCTTTGAAATTTCTCTTCCTCTCTTCTACTTTCACCTACTTCTGTCTTTGAGTTTTAAGCTTTCTTTGTGGGGTTTTTTTTTTTTCTTTCTTTCTTTTTTTTTTTTTTTTTTTTGCTACACACAATTCTTTGCTTTTAGTGTCTTCACTCCTGAGATTAAAATATAATATCATGGATTCTCCTTGACCATTACAGTGTCAAATTCTTCATTAAATGGGATTTGAACCAATTTCATAATATTTTATCCGAATAATAAACTCATTTGAAATTTGTATTTGGTTTTAAAATTAAGTATAAGGTATATTCTCTTATATGCTAATGGATAATATTCAAATTAAATCTCATGCATGTGACATCAAGTAATGTCATTACTAAAGTGTGTTTGCAAAGCATTATTATATATATTTGTAATATATGCAGTATATTAGTAGTTCACAAATGCAGTTTTAAAAAATTGAAAAGGATTTTGAATGGTTTAATTCTGTTTGCCTCCAACAATAGGCTGCTCCTTTTAAATGTGTTTTTTAATTGAGGTAAAATTCATATAACATAAAATTAAGTATACAATTCAGTGGCATTTAGTGTGTTGATAATGTTACACAGTCATCTCCATTTAGTTCCAAAACATTTCAGTTGTCCTAAAGGGGAACCTTATACCTGTTAAGCGGTCACTCTCTACTTTCCCTCCTCCCAACCCCTGGCAACTATTAATCTGCTTTCTGTCTCTATGGATTTACCTATCCTTAATATTATATATAAGTGGAATTGTACAATAATATGGCCTTTTATTTCTGTCTTCTTTACTTAGCATGACATTTTTGGGGTTCTTCCATGTTGTAACATCTTTCATTACTTGATTTCTTTTTATGAGTACATAGCATATGAATATGCCACATTTGTTCATCCATTTTTCAGTTGATGGATTTTTAGTGGTTTTTATCTTTTGACAGCTATGAATGGTACTACTACAGGTAATTGTGTGCTGTTATGAAGTATTTAATCCTCTTTTGTATATACCTAGAAATGGAATTTCTAGGTTATATAATAAATTTATGTTTAACTTTTTTGAGGAATTGTCAAAATGTTTTTCACAGTGGCTGTGGAGTTTACATTTCTTCCAGCAAGTGATCAGGGTGCAAATTTCTCTACATTCTTGTCAACACTGGTTATTGTTTTCTTTTTTATAACCATCCTAATGGGTTTGAAGTCCTATCTCATGGTTCTTATTTGCATTTCCTTAATGAATAATGATGTTAAATGTCTTTTCATTTGCTTGTTGGCCATTTGTATATCTTCTTTGGAGAAATCTATTCAGAAAGCTTTGGCCGTTTAAAAATTGAGTTGTCTATTTGTTGCTCAGTTGCAAGAGTTTTTTTGTTTTGTTTGTTTTTTAAGAGAGAGAGAGAGAAATTTTTTTTTAATATTTATTTTTTAGTTGTCGGTGGACACAACATCTTTGTATGTGGTGCTGAGGATCCAACCCGGGCCGCACGCATGCCAGGCGAGCGCGCTACCGCTTGAGCCACATCCCCAGCCTCAAGTTTTTTTAATTAATGTATTTTATATACTAGATCCCTGATATAGTTTGCAGATATTTTCTCCCATTCTGTAGGCTGTCTTTTTATTTTTGTGATGTGTCCTTTGGTGCATAAAAGTGTATACTTTTGATTGAGTCCAGTGTATTTTTTTTCTTTTATTGCTTGTGCTTTTGGTGTCATATTAACTTTTTGAAGAAACATTATGGCTATTGAGTGATGAAAAGGGATTTTGAGCTGATGTTGTTTTTAAATGTGTTTGGTTTCCCTTCCCCAACTAATTTCACCATTCCTTATAGGAATCCAGGCATGATAAAGAAAAGATAGAAAAGAAAGAGAAAAGGGACAGTTCTGGAGGAAAGGAAGAGAAGAAACAATATCCTTTTCATCTTAATATTAATTAATAATTTTCAGTAGTTTTAATGGAAAGCTTTGGTACCTACCCATCATGTTTAGAATTATACATTTTGTAGTATGTAGTCTAAATACTGTGGAAATTATTAGTTTCAAAATGAACTTTCCAGTTAATCTTCTCAAATGTATGAAATCTGAAAGTGGGAGATTTCATGTTCTTGTTTTGGTTTTAAACTTCTGTGGTGACTGAGGTGTCTTTTGCCAACAATGAATTTATTGACCATCTGACAGTATTGTCACCAAGAAGAAAAAAGGAACAGAGGGCCTTGGGCTAGGAGCATGGTGAATAGTAGGGCAAAATGATGTGGCAGATGAGCAGAGCTGATAAGAGTTTGAGGCTACCAGGCTGGTAAGAGCCAATTAGACCTACAAGATGAGGAATTGTATTAAAAGGTGGGATGCTATTCTACTGTCTCCCCAAAGTTGTTTTCCCTTAATTTGTCATCTACTCATAAGTCCTCGGACAAGCACAGATAATGAAGACTTTCAGCCAAGGTGAGTGTTTTCTCACCTTCTTTTCATTTAAAGATAGAAATATAAAAATGAGATTGGATAATATTGAAGAAACAAAATCAATTTTGCAAGATAAAGCTACCTGAAATTTTCACTTAAATATAATGACCAAGTCTTTGGATACAGATGTAGAGTAAGATTTGCAGTTATTTTTAAGCTGATTTCATCTTAAGTTTGTTGATTAGCCACACTTTAGGCTGGGGGAAAGCATTGAATGTATTTAAGAACATCTGGCACTCTCTTTGTCACTCATTCTCATAAATTTTCTGGATTATTAATTCCCTTTTAAAAATACCTGTAGCTCTGTAAGTCTTGGTGGTATTTGCATTAAAGAAGGTCACAGAGATATTAGCTAATTGAGCCAGTACTCAAACCCAAGTATTTAGTGTTTTCTGTTCTTCTTTTTGCCTTGTTAGGTAAATGAGTTATCCAAAGGTTTTTTAAGTTTTTGTGCCTTTTTTTTCTACCACTGTCCATGTTTTGCAACGTCAGAAAATAAGGTCTGTGCTTTTATAGAATTTAAATATACAACTTTGTTTGCAAGGTAATACATTTAGTTTTTATGTGAGATATAAAAAGTGTTTTAAACATTGTAAGTAAATTATGTGTATCTTAGTGTTTGGAGTGTTCAGACTTTTTTGGTGATACTGTAGGATTATCAAAGTCTGTAGGGTGATTTGCCCCCTACATTTAATAGTTCCAAATAGACATTCTTGAAGTTGTTGACTGTGCTTTTTTATTGCCCATTTTAGCTGTCTTAGTGGTATTAAGTATACCTGTTCTCTCTACCTTGCTCCTAGTGTTATTGGCTGCTGCAGTTATTTTTTTTAAATGCAACCAGATAGATAACCAGGGTTATTTATAGTTTAAATTATAAATGAGAAATGTCTGAGAGCCAGTTCAGTATTAGAATAAAGGTTTTAGGGTGTGGGTTTTGTCATGTTTATTTTGGCTGCAAAGCAGGGATTTAAGGTTGTCAGGTTGGTGACCTCCTGATAGTGGTGTGCCTTTTGTGTTTTGTTAGCTTATGTTTGTTATCTAAGTAGTAGACCAGGATAAACAAGAGTTCTGAAAGAGAATATAAAATTTACTAATTTTTTTTTAAATTAAGAAGATTGTAAAAGAAATACTGTTGCCCATCCTTCAATTCTGCCCCACCCCAGCTGTTTTCCTTGCTGGGGGAGGGGGCTAGAATTCCTTTCCTTAGTTCAAACTCTTAAACTTTGTTATTTTAATTCTTAACCTTTTGTTTTGTTTTGCTACTGAGGATTGAACCCAGGCATGCTTTACCACTGAGTCAAATCCTCAGTCCGTTTTATTTTTATTTCTTGGTACTGGGGATTGAACCCAGGCTTGCTTTACCACTGAGCTATATCCACAGCACATTTTATTTTATTTTTTATATTTTATGTTTTGAGGTAGAGTCTCACTACATTGCTTAGGGACTCTAGGCTCAGTTGCTGAGTCTGGCCTCAAACTTGAAATCCTCCAGCCTTGACCTCCCAAGTCACTGGCATTATAATGCAAGCATCACCATGCTCCCTTATGTTTTTATTTTGAGACAGGGTCTTGCTAAGTTGATAAGGGTCCCACCAGTTGTTGAGGTTGGCCTTGAACTTGCAATACTCTTTCTTCAGGGATTACAGGCATATGCTATCATGCCTGACCATCTTAATCTTTCTTTTAATTTGGCATTTTGCTTTCACCTAGGATCTCCATTAAAGAAAAATCCTACTTCTCAGATCTTCATTGTAATGGGACCACCATTGTCACTGACAACTTTCACCATGCTTTTATACATCTTTTTTATTCAGTTCCTAAGTATTATTATTTTTTATGTGAGGATTGTGCTAAAGATTTGAGTTGTTCTTATACTGGCCATGAATTTGTACTTTACCTGTCTATATAATCCCTCTGGAGGAAAGTCATGAAAAATCTGGCTAAAGCTGTATGTTTGGCTCCTGATCTTGTAGCAAAGCTTCTAGATTCTGATGTTCTTGTAAAGATACATGTAGCTCCTTCAGTTTTCTTGCTGACAACTATGTATATACTTTTTTCTTGGATAAACTCTTAACTTTTGTTAGTCTCTTGATTTGTCCTTTTCCTCTCTGTCTTTTGTTTTCTGGCTGCCTCTTTCTATTTGGATTCATTCAGCTATTGGGCAAATCCTTCTGGTTCTTTTTTTCCTTTCTTTCATAAATCTCATCATTTTTGATTGGCATCATCTACCTTGAAGATGCTTCTAAATCTACTGCCTTTACTTTAAATTTATTTTCTATTCTACAGAGAGGAGAGCTGCTAATATATGTCATAAAAGATGTCACTAATTTTAAGATTTCATTATTGATTTTTAGAACAATTTAGGACAATAGCTAGAGAAGTGTCATTGATTTGTATCCATCACCCTGATTTTAGAAACATTGAAATAATCACATTAGAACTAAGAAATATATAAATGTGACCCCGATTATATTCCTTTCAGAGTCTGCCTTCCTGTTCTGACTGCTGTTTTTAGTTGCAAATTCTGCCTGTTTGCTGCATCTTTTGTTACCTGTAAAGTTTTTGTCCAATTTCATTTAATAAGCATATATAAGTATGTTACTTATCTACCTCCCTAGATTGTGGTTTTGTTGGAGGCTATGTATCCTTTCCTTTCTTGATTGAGTCTCTTGAACATTAGCAGCTTTGCATTTAACCTTTTGTTCTACCTTACTCTTTAAAAATTCTTGCCTATTGATGATCACAAGTTTGAGGCCAACCTTAGCAATTTAGCAAGACCCTAAGTAACTTAGCTAGATCCTGTCTCAAAATAAAAATAAAGGGCCTGGGGAGGTAGCTCAGTGATAAAATGCCCAAGTGGGTGCTGGGATTCAGTCCCCAACACCCAAATGAATAAATAAACAAATAAGATAAATTACTAAATTCCTGCCTATTAAGATTGTCCTGCAAAGCCATTTTTTGTCTTCTCAATTTTAATTTATATTTGTAATCCTCATCTCATATCCTATGCAACTGTATGTTTAGTTTATTATATTTCTGTAACATTCCATTCCAACAAGGCCAAGTGTATTTGGTTGGTTAAATTCTCATCTCCATTGTCATATGTGTAAACAAACTCTTATCTTCTGAACCCAAGATTGGCAAATTCTCAGCCCCTTGTCAGATTGTTGCTGTTTACCTCTTTAGCCTCACACAAAATTAATTTTTAAAAAAACATTAGTTTAATTTAGCAATCAGAAGATTTGACAAATCCAGATTTCAGTTTTTCTTGAAGAATTAGAACATCTAATAACATTGCGTCCTGATTTCTGCATGGCAACAATCAGATCTCCCTAGGTACAACCCACATAGAGCTAGGACCTTCCACCCTGCACATCCCCAATGCCCACAGTTAAAACCGTACGCCTCAGTCAGTCCCCACTCATCTCACTTCATTTGTTTTCATTATATAGCCCCTATAGACCGGTGATTTTTATAATCCCCCCACCTTAAGTCCATACTTGGAAATTTACTTCCTAAACTCTCACAGATTTCTTATTTTAAGATTGTATTGCCATTCTAAGGCCTATTCCTAGATGGTGATAATGTGGACTGGGGTAGGGAGTATGTTAGGATAGCCATTGCTTACATGTGAGCTTGTCCTAGTCACTGGTTCCTATGCATATATACCTTCCTAGATTGTGATTTTGTTAGAGGCTATGTATGCTTTCCTTCTAATCAAACAACCAAGTAGTTTTCTTTATTACCTGGGATGTTTTAGATACTCTGTTCACTTTACATGGAAAGTTATGTGCAGAGGTAGTATTTTCTCTGGGATCAGTGTGAACATTGATAACGAGCAACACTTTAGTATTTTTTGGCCATCAAAAGTAGGTTCAGTTTACTTACACTATTTATTAGAAGGGGAAACCATACTAATTAAAAAGAAGTTGTTTTGTATGTTGCAACATATTTTGAGGGCAGATTTATTATGCTTTTATTTCATTTTGTAGTAATCATTAAGTATGCTTGAAATTATTGTTGGGAGATTTAAATGATAGACATGAAACTTTTGTCTGCATTATCCTTTATACTTTTAAAAAGTACTGGATATGGGCTCTGTATACTGGTATTCATAGACAGTACACAATTGAGGGCAGGAGGAACTTTCTGTTCCTTACTCCTCTTCTTAAGGTAGACAAATATTCACTAAGGTGCTGTTTTTTTTTTTTTTTAAACATCTGGATGTGGGTATGAGCCCTTACAAATGGATCCTGTGCCACCTTTGCCCGAGTGTTAGTGTCCTCTGCACACATTTATTCTGAGAGGCATCCCTGGATCCAGTCAAGATTCATCTCAATAGAGCCTGTTTTAACTCTGTTACATTTTGTTTACATGGAACATCTCAGTAATTGTTTGCTACGAGAGTTCTTAGGTTGCAGTATAAGGGCAAATGAAGGTATAAAGTGGAATCAGTATGGCTGTCCCTAAGTCTTTCTCCTTATAATTTCTTTCTTCCTTATAAATGTTCACTTGACATTTTAAACTTTATTTGTATATGCATTTTTACTTGGTGTGTTTGTGTGTGGGGGAAGGGGACACACAAACACACACACACACACACACACACACACACACACACACACACACACATGGATTATGAAATCCTGACAGCTTCAGACACTAATACAAATGCAGGGAATACAATTCTGAGATGCCTTCTTTCAGGTAAAGACACTTAACCATGAGTAAGGTATTATTTTGGTGGATTTGTATTTTATAGTTCCTCTTAAAATGTTTTTGTTGCCATCAAAATGGCTATTTAGGGAGGAATCTATGAACTACTGAGACATTTCTTAGGACCTTTTTGATGTATTTGACCATAAACTTAATAAGCATGTATTTATAAAGATAAGATTTTGTTTGTCTTCTCCACTTTGATCACCTACCCTTTTCTCCAAACCACCTTACTTTTCCAAACTTGCCTCTTTCTGTCACAACTGTTTAGAACATCATTTAGAGTCAACTGCCTCAACTCTTTGAGAGAGTGCTCTTTAAGGGACTTTTCATGCATAGTGTTCTGATTTCCTAATGGAGGGCATGTTGGAACATAGGAAAATGATAACCTTCCTAATACAGAACCTATTTCAGCAAAAAGGAAAACCTAGGAAGTCCAGATAATTACCAATGTAAAATTATGTTTACAAATGTATTCCTGCTTCAGTGGGGTAGAAGGCCACCTTTTATTTGAATGTGTCCTACAAACGTGGTACACTTCATAGTCAATATAGTGTCGATGTCTGTGGTGAAGGACAGCAGACTGAATTGAGCCTGAAGGATACAGTGTTTTTGAGAAACATCAACAATCCTAGGTGTGAAAAAGACAAATCTCTGACCCTTTACACTTAGAACCTATGCTTTCTTATTTACAGTGGTTAAAATGGCACATTTTAAAAAAAGAAGTTAGTTTAAAAAATAAAATTTAAAGAATATTGCAGGTAATGTGATATAAATTCAATGTTAATGAGAAGAAAACTATTAACTCTGGTGAAGATAGGGTCCCAAAGACTGAATCTGGCACTGTTTCATCGCTATGTGACTTTCTTCTTGATGATAGCTAGCTCTTTCTGAAGTTCATTGAACTTGGGGGCAATTTTCAAGTTTGTAATCACAGCACTTCAGCATTATTTTGTAATATTCTCTGGACACTGATGAGAGATTGACATCCAGTATCCTCTTTCCACTTGCTCTTGCTTGTTGATTTGTCATTCCAGGGTATGGACAGACCCCTAAGCTGAAGGTCTCCCAGAGGAGGATGCCAAAGCTCCATGCGTCACTCTAAGAACGATCTCTCCCATAATTAAGAGCTTCTGGTGCTGTCCATTTAATGGGAATCTGCTTTAAGTCAGAAGATGAATATACACCAATATCCTCTTGATGAGACATTCCAAAGTCACTGATTTTCAGAACATTATTTTCACCTCCAGGCAGTTTCTTGCAGCAAGGTCCCTGTGCATACAATTTTTACTCGAGATACGCCATCCAGAAGCAGCATCTAATGAAAATTTCACTAACTAACTGAGTTTTAGTTCATCCTTCTTTCTCAGAAAGGAGAGGAAACCACGTCCTGGAACCAGTTCCTTAAAGATGTAGATAGGCTGTCTTTGTGTGCGAACTCCTATAAGTTTGACAACGTTGGGATGATTATGTCACTTGAGGATTTTGGCTTCTTGTAAAAATTTTAATTTCAGTTCCTGGAAAAGATCTTCTTTACATGTTTTAATAGCAACATGAATTTTATCCTTTAATGTCCCCTTAAGTATGTCATTACAATTTCCCTTGCCTAGTAATTCTCCTAATGTGATGTCTTCATGATTGAGAACCCATTTCTTCTTCTACTAATTATGGTCATATGGACACCATGATGTTCTTTATTGGAACATTACTTTTTTTTCAATTTAAGAAATTGAGATATTCACCATTTTAAAGTGTACAATTCAATGGTTTTTAGTATATTCATTATATTGTGCAATCATCACCACTGTCTAATTTCAAAACATTTCTCTCACCTCCAAAAGAAGCCCCATGTTTGTTAGCAGTCACTCTTAATTCTCCCCTTCCTCCAACCCCTGGAAACCACAATGTACTTTCTACGGATTTGCCTATTTGGGACATTTCATATGAATGGAATCATGCAATACTGTGGCCTTTTGTGTCCAGGTTCTTTCACTTAGCATCATGTTTTCAAGATTCATCCATGTTGTAGCATGTATCAGTACTCCATTCCTTTTTTGGGTAAATAATATTCCATTGTATGAATGTGTATCATATTTTGTTTATCTATTCATCAGTTGATGAACAGGAACAATGACTTTAAGTATTAAATTGTAAGTTCAACATCAGTGTATCCACAATTATAATTGATAATGTCAAGATTAATACATGGTGTGAACAGAATTCTGTGTAGAAATGATATGTAAATTATTTGTCAGCATTTCATGCAAGTGTGATTATTTTCTAAGGCCCCTTCTAGCTCTCGTTTTATGAAATATGTGAATGTAGTATTTTCATCAATAAAGTTTAATGCGTTAAGCATTAGTTTAAAATTTGAGAACAAATGTTAGGCAGATATGAAGTTATTTGCCACATGTTGTAATGATCATGTTTTGAATTTATTTCAATATGCAGTATTTGAAAAATGTCAATACATAAAGGAAAGGAAATGAGTATAATTGAGTCAATATATTTTTTAAGCAATTTTTATAATTTAGCAGACGTTGCATCTTAATATAAGTCATTATTAAAATTGTGTCCTTGTGAAAAATGTGATGTTATTTTCCTCTTTTTTTGTTAATCCTGTAAAATAGGTTCCTTTTCTTTGGTAAATGTATTCTGTTCATTTTTGATAAGCTATTACTTGCCCCATAGAATGTTTTACTTCTTGCTATTTTTTTCCCTTCCCTCACCCCTACCACTCCTTTATACACAAATTGTTCAGTGTTGTATTTTTTTAAAGAGTCATACATAGTATGCCCATCTAAATGGTTTCTAAGAGTGGACAATGAGAAATACATGAATATTTTCATCCTTTTCTGGCAATTCAATTCAAGTCTTTGTTATTGATGGAACTCACTAACTTTTCTTTCTTTAAACTTCTTTCCTTCCTTCTTTTTTCTTCCCTTCCTCCTCCTTTCCTTACCTTCCTTCCCCACCCTGCCCACTCTCCTCCTTTCTATCCTTCCTTGCTTCCTCTCTTCTACTTCCTTCCCTCTTCCTTTGACTTCCCTCATACCCTCTCTTCCTTCCTTCCTTTCTTATCTATCAATATAATCACTTTGTTTCTTTCAGGTGAGATTGGAATGAAATTGTTCATCTGTGACCAGAAATTTATTTTCCTGAGTAGATTGCCGAGAATTATGAATGAAGAGGGCCCATTTGCATCTCCTTAAATTATTCAGTTATCTGCTTTATTGCTCCATGTGGAAAACCTAAAATTGTTGAGTTGTGCATTACTGTATTTTTAACTTGTTGCTTAATTTCTACATGTTTATTTTCAGTAATGGCTGAAAGTGTTGATTGTTCCATATTTTTAGCACAATGTGCTGCATACACTTCCCAACAAGCAAATAAGGTTACATGTGTACAGAATTTCACTTTTGGTTAACTAAATATTGCCTGAGTTTAGTCTCCCCCTCCCCCATTTTAAATGCTTCCTTTTTACTGTTTGAAACTGAAAATAAACAATTATTGAACCATTTTGAATTTACCTCATTTTAAAGCTCGGTTTTAATTTATTATTTGGCCTGTTTTTAATATTACTTACTTAAATTGGAAGGAGTGTCTTTATGCAATGCCTAGGAATCATTTTATATAGAACATGTACATTAAAACCTGTTTAAAAAAGAAAAAGATAACAGCGCTCACTTGTCCCTTGCCATTTTTTCCTTGTATTTACAAAAATCTTGGGGGGGGGGGGTTGTCAAAAGTTAATTGTGTTTTAATTCTACAGCTATAGGAGCTTTGTATTGCTGAACTTTCATCTGGAAAAGTTTCACAGTGACATTTTTAAAAGAGAATTTTTTAATCTACTGAATTCTACCAGTGTAAACTTTTTTTCTAAATAAAAAATAGTTTTCTCAAATGATTGTATATCATTGTGTATATTGTTGCTTATTTAGAATAACTTAGCAAAGATAATTCATTGAGCTTCCTAGCCCTTCTCCATTTTATTGTGGATAAACTACATTATTGTCAGATAACATTATCATATAATATGGAAAAACAAAACATTTTGTTTGGTTACTTGTGCACTTGGAGTAAGCAGTGGGCTGAACATATGCCCAGAAGTATCCACTTCATGTTGAGCTTTCAGAAACAGTGATACTTATACAAATCAAAATTTTCAGAGACAAAAAGTATATATATTTTTAAAGGATTAAGAAATGTTGAGGGGCTGGGGTTGAGGCTCAGTGGTAGGTAGAGTGCTTACCTAGCATGTGTGAGGCACTGGGTTTGATTCTCAGCACCACATATAAATAAAGTCCCATTGACAACTAAAAAATATTAAAAGACATATTAAAAAAGAAATATTGAGCCTATCTTAGAATTGACAAAGGGGCATGAATCGTGATGCCCTCTTTCAGGTAATTGTAATTTGTGGAAGGTAATATGCAGAATAATTATTTGTGAGAGAGTGATCTATTCACTCCACTGTTGAGCACCCATAATGTGCCTAACATAAAAAGTATTTAATTAAAGTGATTTTTGACTTTTGAGAAAATAACCATGGTTCACCTCAAAATCACTTGAAACACAAGGGAAGAGCTTTCTAATTGCTATGTTGCAGTCACATTTTAAAGATTACATGGTTATTATTTTGAATCAGAAAGTTGTTACTAATTAGCATCCAAATTTTTTCTACTTGTTCTCCAGTTATTGAATACAGGTACTCTTTGGTTTTGGCCTTACTATAAATGCATTGATGATGGAACACAATAGCTTTGGATTTAACTGTGTGAAAATATGCTGGAAGTAGAAAATCTGTATTTTTTTCTGTAATGATAGCTATTTTTAACATTTGCTCTGTTCTAGGTAAAAAGGAATAAAGAGTTAATTCTGGTCTCAAAGGTGATTTCATTTACAAAAACAAGTGGAAGCCTAGATTTGGCATGTAGGCTATAGTTTGCCAATTCCACTATAGTGAGTAGAATCTCCTTTAGGAAGTTCATTGAAAAAAATATTGAGTGCCTCCTGTGCACCAGAGGAACAGCCATGAATAAAATAAGTCCCTGTCCTCATGGAGCTTCCATTGTAGTCAGTGGAGATAATAAATGTATGTTAGGTGAGCGGAAGTGCTCTGAGGAAAAGTAAACCTGTTGAGAAGGCTGAGTGAGGTAGAGCTTACTACTTTACGTACAGAGTAAATAAAGTGAGCCAAGAGATATTCCTGATCTCAAACTCATCTTTGAAACTTTTTATGTGAAAATTGTATAATATGCAAAAATTTTAAGTTCTAAAGAGCACCTAGGCTTGACATTTCCAGAAAGGTGTTCTTAACTTTAGGTTTATTATTGAGCTTGGGAGTATTTATCTCCCCCACCCCTAGTGAATATTAATTTGTGATAATTTGTACTTTCCTGGATTTATAGTTTTTGTCTGATTCTCAAAAAAGATCTAAGATGGCATTTTTTGTGCCCCTTCTTCCCCCCCCACCCCGGTCTTGTTCCAAAGAAATCTAAAACCTTTATAACCCTGGATCTATTTGGAGCTGGTGAAAAGTTGGAAGACAGTTGATAGTCTACCTTGGGTTATATAATAGGGATATGAGAGCATCTTTCTTTTCCTTGCAAATTATTTCAATTTATTATTGCCCCATGATATAGGATCATTTTTATTTCAAGGAAGCACTTAAGCTAAGTACAGGTGGAAACCCTAGTAGACTTATTTAGTAGCCAGTTATATAGTTTCTACCCCTCCATGTTCCAGAAGGATTTATGAAAAAGTGTACAGTATTTTTAAATGGGGAAGTTTTGTTTCTGCATGAAATTAGTCAAAATGAAGTTACATCCAAAAATGTGTACATTTAGGACATGAATCAGCTCTGAGAAACTGGTAGGCTACACAAGGTAATATGGTTAGTTATAGCAATGGATATGTCCATCAATCAAAAAGGTAGTTGCAGTGGGAAAGAATGTTTCCTGGCACTGAGGCCTGATAGAAATTTTTTTGGATTATTGAAGAAGCCAGGTTATTTCAGTGATTTTTTTTAAAGGAAATATCTTGCAGTGGTCCTGACACATCACTTCATGCTAATAAGGATATTTCTACAATACCAAAAACAGATTTTTGATTATTTGGTTTGGTCTAGGAAAACTCTTTTTGAATATTAGGGACAGAGTATGTAAACTGGGATTTATGATAACCTTATTCTTTATAAGCATGTGTGTAAAGATTGGAAAACTTCTATGACTATTGTTTGGTTCCAAAAATACAATTAATGTAAACAGTATTATTTAAAAGCTGTATCTGTCCTTTGTTTTTATTTTTATGGGTATTGATCTGTAGGCTGCCTCTTAGGTAGACTAAAGCTTATAATAGTTCAGTCTCATCACTCATCAGAAGCATAGTTTAAAGGTTTTTAAATTACAGTAATATTTCTGGAGCTAACTTCCCATCAGGACCAAAGAGATTTTCTTGTGTCTAGAGTTGAATATAAAAAGAGGAACTGCTTAAAAGTTGCTAATTCATGCTAATTGAATACAGATTTTGTTGTATTTATAGACATAAGTAGACATAATTAATAATAAGGGATTTGTGGCAATCTGAGAAGATATGCCTTAATGTAAAAATGATAGGGCTTTTATACTGTTGATACTGTTTTAAGCTTTGTAATTGCCATTTCTTACATGGGTTAGGTTTTAAAAGCTTAATTTCTTTGATGTTTTTGCTAAATAGTGGTAGTTAATGGAGGAAGAAGAGGGAAAGGGGAAGGAGATTCCACTTAGGCACAGGGCACATGAACATTGCAAATCAGAAATGACCTTCATTTTCAGGGATAGGAGCTAGAAAATGACAGCCTTGAGCTTAGCTGACTTCTGTTTATTTGTCGCATGACAGCTAGGTGTCCTTGGACTTGAGTTATCAGACTTAAAAATGCTACTATTTCCTCTGTCCTCACAATATTTTCTTGTTTTTACCTGAGTGATATTGAACCATGTTCAAGGACTTCATTCACAAAGGTTTTTTTTTTTCTTTCTTTCTCCACTTCAAGTGCTGGGGATTGAATCCAGGGCCTTCTTGCAAGCATTCTATCAGCAAACTACATCCCCAGCCCTAAGGACTTCATGACTTTTTATGTATTATGCAATAGTACTTATCTCCTGTCACAGAGATAAGTACTCATCAAAGAAATGAGTTTTAATTGGATGTGTACTATTATACAGGCACCTTTTGTGCTTTCCTGGATAATTTATCAGAGACATCAGTAATAAAGCAGAAGATTATGTTTACAAGGTAAAAGGAGGAAATGATGTAAAATGAGTAAAGTATTCATACCAGTTAAATTTGAAGAGGATGATGAATATTGGGTAAGAATTACCTGAATTAAGAATAATTTGGGAAGTGTTGTTTACAACTGGTTGATATCGGAGGGCGTTGTGAAGGATTTGGATTTTCAGGAAGCCAGTCCACTTTTACTTAGATCTAGAAGGCATAGGTCCTCTGGTGTCTGGCTTAATCCTAAATTGGCATTGTTGGAGAGAGAATGTTGAGTTTAGAATCAAGACCAGTTCTGATACTGCACAGAATCTTTCATGCCAATCTGTGAATTGCACTGGCCCAAGACCGGATCAGATTCAGGATGCAAATTCTAACCCTTTGGATATTCATGCTTCCTCAATACTACCGTTAATCATACTTGTGGTATGCTTATAGGTAATTGAAAATTCGTTGCCTCTATGTCAAGATGACTTTCCTTGTCCATTTCTATTGCTCTGTATAAAAATGAACTATACTGACCTACATTCCTCATCTAGTTTTCAAATGTGCCCTTTTCCTAATGAATTAAATCTTAACATTACAGGCAAAACACCAAAAATAGGACCTCCTAAAACACTGACAGAAGTTTTGTTATTATTGGCAATATTTTATACTAGTTTCCATACTGGGAAGCATCAGAATTAACTGAAAAGCTTTAGGAAACCTCCACTTAAACATATTGATATATTGAATCAGTATCTCTTAAGGGTGAATTCCTGGAGAATTCAAGAAAAACACTTCATGTGATTGTAATGTAGTAAATAATATTTGGGAATGACAGTGTATAACCAGCATGAAATTCCAACATCTCTGTCCTTACTTGGGACAGATTTATTTAGAGACTTATTTCTGTGGATGATAAGTATATTAGGCCCCACACAACCCATGGGTAGCAAAGGATATTTTAAAAGCAAGAACATCAGCCTCTGACCTGGGATTAGAGTTCATCAACTTTGCTAGTCCATGCTGCTGCTGTTCACTGACCCCTAGCCTTCTTTAAACAACCTTCACTACCTTCAGTCACATAGATATGTATTGCCAGCAAGCATCTATTACCAAAATAAGCGATTTGAAGTTTAGAGCTGCTTCTGACAACTTAAACATCCTTCTCCATTAACTTTCATCAATGGTAGTTCACTTTTCTATGATTGGAGTTGTGTTCAAGACTGAATAATTTTGTTCTTGTTTTTTTTTTTTTTCCTGGAAAATGTACCAGTGGCAAGTGAAAATTTATGTAAGCATTTAAAAATTTTATGCTATAAATTTTCCTCCAACCACAGCTCTAGCTGTATCCCCAAAATTTAATGTGTGGTATTTCTGTATCCCCAAAATTTAATGTGTGGTATTTTCATTTTCACTCAGCTCAAAATACTTCTCAACTTGCCATTTGTTTCCTTTGACCCATGTGCATTGTTTAATTTCCAAATATTCCTACATTTCTTAGATATCCTGTGTTACTGATATCTACTTCTATTGTGGTCAAAGAACCTATTTTGAATTATTTAGAACCTGTTGAATTTGCTGAGATTTGTTTTATGGCCTAGTACCTGACCTCCCATGGTGAATAGTCTGTATGAACTTGAAAAGAATGTTTATTCTGTTCTTACTGGATG